CCATTACCGACAACAAGCTTTCTCGTTGGACCTCGAGCACCGGTTTGACCCGAACGACCGACCGACCGACTGACGTAGAGGTGGGTGAGCACTGTGAGTTCGCCGTTGGGCTTCGAGCCCAACTGAGGACGGATATAAGTCATTGGACCCGCCCGGATCTTCGAGCCAAGAGAAACATACACCGCAAGGACTGGCTCGGCGGGGAAATTTTACATTTGCATGCCATGAGCGGATACATCTTATTCCCGCGCGGAAATCCTCCTCTCGGAGCAAATCTGTTCTGAACTAGCAGCTGTCGGGTTTCTATCCGTTTCGGTTGAGTATTGGGCCGAATCCACGCGAGCGGCTCGCGGTAAATTTACGCAGGTTCCCACGAGCTATTAATCGAAGAGCGACAGGTGTTCCTCAATTGTGACAGCCTTATCGTGTTTCCCTTCGAGCCTTCTGTCAGCCACTCGGAAATATTCAGTGGCGCCGGACAAAGTGGACTCGGACGGCTAAGAATCACATGGAGATTCCATCTCGATCTGATCAAGAGTAATTCGGAAGGGATGGGACTGGAATGTTCGGAATATGCATCGCTCGCTCGGTCATGTCCGGGAAGGCATTCGAGTGATTAGTGATTGGAGTTTCCGAGGACGAGGCCGTATCAACAAGGGTGATCCGCACGCTGGTCACAGGTTCGTGGAGGAGTTGACGAGGAACTTAGCCGCCGTAGAGTCGGTGCTCCACAAGCGCCTGATTCCAGGAAAGAGCCAGTCAGTTTCCCTTCCGGCGGGTTTGACTCTTGTTCACAGCGCAGCGACTCGCTGCTCCACCTGCGTGGAGATCGCGCTAGGCTGAGGGCTGCGAAATTCGCTCGCGATCGAAGTTCAGGCCGCGGTACCGTTTAGGCGAAGAGCGCACCCGTAGCAACGGCAAGAGGCTACTTCAAGCCAACGAACCACGTCCAAGCGGTGCGATGGTTTGGGCTTCGTTCAGCGTTTTGTTCTTTTTTCTGTTCGCCAGTTTCTTTATATTACTTGTTGTCTCCTCTTTTTTTCCCTCAGACCGAACAAGCAGCACGTGACCCTCTCGTTCGCGTTGGCGCGCCCCGTTCTAGCCATTGTTGACGTTAGGAAACGAAATCTTTTTTCGAACGGAGGAACCACTTGTTTCCTTTTCCTCTTTACAGCTCAACCTGTCGAGGCGGCGGATACCTCCGTTCGCGGATACAGTTTCCCAACAACTATCGTCTTCCAGACGCTAACGTCGATGACAACAGCAGCCACGACCACCACCACAGAGATCCCACCGTTACAGACGGTGGTGGCGATGGTGCGCGTTTCGGACATAACAGAAAATTTAATTCTCGGCGGAGCCCAAAAAAATCTCTCGGCTATTTCAGAAAATATGTCGTCCGGGACAAGTTTGGAAGAAAGCTCGCGGTCGCCGGCGGCAGAAGAAGATTCGCCAGTGACATCGCATCTGATGTCGACAAAGTAATGACGACCGCACCGGAGCCGTTGAACTGACTGACTGAGCCTTGCCTGATGCTGCCGCGCCGCTGCTATTGGCAGCAACGAAACCGTTAGTCAGAAATGAGCGTCAGATGCCGTTTACGTATCGGGATTTCGGTCGTCGGCCGACTAGGCTATCGGTTGAAAGCTGCTACCTCGATCGTTGGGCGGATTTGTGCTCCGAGACATTTTGCTTCATCAAGTTTCGTCGTCGTCGTTGTCGTCGGCCGTCTCTCTGGATGTCCGCATGTTTTTCAACAAAATCCCGCAACGCGACTGACTGCTTGTGCGTGCCGGAAATTCGGTCATTGATCCCAGAGTTTCGCGCGCGTAGGCAAAATCCGATTTGAAGAGCCGCGATTGAATCAAAGGCTCGCACTCGAGTCGGAATCGGTCAGAGCAGTGTTGAGAAACAATTCGAAACAACACCTGTTGATGTACGCGAGTAAAGACAAGTAACTGAAGCAAAGCAAGTGGGATTCCTCAAAGGGGCACTGGTGCCTCCTGATAGTGGCTGCCGGCCTGACTGGATGCCCAGCTAGCCTCCCGAGCGGCCACTATCATCGGAGAAATACAACGCGACGGCGCGCCGTCCACTCCGAGTACTCGTACTGATAGACGTCAGGACGGGCGGAGGGACCGACCGGCGAAACCAGCAAAAAACGTCCCCGAGACGAGACTGCCGCTCCACAGAACCGGGTTCCCAAGTTGAAAGCTTTCACAGGCGAATCTACGCGAACGGAGCAACTTACGAAGGTGGTCTTCAACAAACTTCGGAGTCGAATCGACTGGTGCTTGTTCCCCCTCTGACCTTGCTCCGAGTTAATGGCATCCGCGGTCTTTCCAGCTTAGACCCAAACGTTCAGAGGGCAGTTTTTCCGCTCGATCGCCATTCGACCGTCTTCCCGCTGATCATCGAGGTCCATCTTCGTATCCGGTCGGTTGTTCACGCGCGCGCCACCTCGGACCGATCCTTGCCCACGCGGGTTCCGATGATTGGTGCTCATTGTTATACATTGCACGTATCCGTTCATGGAAGGAGGAGAATTCGATTCGGCCATGAAGAGCTCAGTTCCACACCTCTGGAAGAACTTTCCCGCATAACCAGCGATCGGAAACTATAAACAAAGAGAGATCCGTTCCAGGGGCAACAACTTCGAGGAGCCGGTTCTTCTGATGATTTCGCGCAGGCTCCATAGGGCTCCCGAAACACCGGACGAACGAACATTTTTTTCTGATTGCGGACGTCTCGAGAATATAACTCTCCGAAGAATTTATTCCTCCTTGCCTTAGCCTTTTAGGCTCGCTGACCAGCAACGCACCTCAATATCCATATGGGGATTGGAGGATCGATCGATATTCGTCTGGAGTTCTCGATTCGATGCCTTATCAATATCGCAGGGAACGGAGGTGAATTCACTCGGCTTTCGATTAGGGAGTTAGCGCCGATTCGATCAGCCGTAATCCCTAAAACAGGACTATCAGATCACGTCCCCCCAGATTCAATTAGACACTCGGATTCGCTGGCTCGCTCGGGGACCCGTCATGTCAGTTGTGAGGTAGCCGGCGGCGCGCACGAAGACGAACAAACGTCGCGCTACGCTTTGAGCAAGTTCTTTTCTCAGTCCGACGAGCTTTGAAGTGCCGTCGGGGGTACCTCGGAATGTGGGACCTCGTCACGCTAGATCGGCTAGATGTCTCTGCGCTTTTTCAGTCTGTTCGTCCGTTCGTCCGACCGCCCGCCCGCCGGCCCGATCGTGCATCGGTCCGCCGGTCCAACGTGAATGACAAGCGGCCGATCATCGAGTGCAACCAGTAGTTCGGCGGACGGGACATCCACACCTCGGTCACTCCGATATCCCGCGGCGGGTGACCTGGCCGGAGACGGGAGCGAAATATCATATGCATGAGGGAAAGCGTCTCTTATTTTTGATGGAAACCCCGAACAACGAGTCTTCCAGAATCGCGCCACGCTTGCCAATAACCAGATGCTCGAACTCGATGTCCTTGTCACAAACTCAATCATCGTCTTCCCCACCCTCGGTCTGTCCGTCGATCCTTCCGTCCGACCGCTCATCCGTTTGTCGGGACGACAAACCTGTCGGCCGACCGCACCCTTTACTTGAGAAGCGGGATTGCGAGCATATAGAATTAGCCGGATCTCGCTCGGTTCACTGGCCGACCGGTAGAACTACTTTCCCCGCGCGCTTTCGGCGGAAAAAAGCACTCTATGCGTACGTGCTTCCCGATCGCCGCAGCAATTTTCGAGAAGTAGTGGTCGATGGTTCCCATTAGTGGGCAGCGAGCTCTGCTCGGAATGACACCCCGCAGTTCGCGGGACAACTCCGGTATCCGCTCTCGGGAGGAAATTTTCCTCCGGATCTCGGATTCCCCTGATGCGGCGATTGTTCACGAGAAGAGAAAACCTCAAAGTGGGTTTTTTTTTCTCGTGCGTGCCCGATTTATATTTGCACCTCGAGCATTCCTCTGAAGGGAGTAGAAATCGGGCAGGAAAATTGCCGTCCACTAAAAGGCTGTAAAGTACTTCGCCCCCCGCTTCGCCAAAAGATCCAACGGCCCACCATAAACTCAATGACCAATCGGACTGAGCCATAGCGGGAGAGAGGCACGACGACATCGAAAAAAAGCAGCCTCGACGAAATGCCACCTGAGGTGACATTCTCGCGCGCGAGAGGTCGAGCAGGCGAAGTCGAGAGTTCGCTTCTTGAAACTTCAGCCGAGTCTGCGACAGCGGCGGCGGCAGCTCCTGCTACACATTGGCGGGCACACAGGCACGTGCACGAGTCTGGTGCGAAAGGCGATCATCAGAGTGTCGTTCGAACTTCACTCGGAGCGCCGAGAATTTCTCTGAAGCGCGGGGAGAGCGTTCGTCTGAGCGACTACAACGCACCGATTGTAGGCCACTTTCACGCTCATTAAGAGATTAGGCAGCGGCTTTAACAAGGATCCGTATCAAGATTTGCGGTCCGGAGCGATCCGTAAGGCGCTGACTCCGTACTCGGAAGCACTCCATTCAGGTGTCGGTCGCAAGAGATCCGTTGTACTCTTCTGACGATCTGAGACCACTCTTGCGGCTTATCAGACCGCGAAAATTGGACCATGGTGTCACGATGATCTTAATGAGAGCTTGACGTAATTTCCGTCGACGAATGATTGGATGCTCCATCGTCTGGTGATCGGGTTTCTCGATCGGAATCGGCCACGTTTCCAGAAAACTCTTCCAAAGTGTCCGGGTGTCTGACCGCACAGGCATTTTCTTCTTGTCGCTTCAATAATTGAATCGGCCGACACGATACCTATATTTTAACTAGCTAGAGCTTGCATGGCTCATGGTATGCACTCTTAGGCCAGGCAGTGTTGCGGCGAAGTCACTTCTCTCCTTTTCATTTCGAACGCCGATACCGGTCACCGCATCCTCGGAGCTCAGCCACCAAAATGACATCTGGTTTGACCGAACACTGGATTCCTGAGCACACATACCTTGTTGAGCGTTTCCGGTCACCACAAATAATCCCAACAGGACTAGTATTCTAGGCCAATGGCCTGACTTCGTCGATGTGTCCATGTCTGCGGTGTGCGGATGTCAAACGTCAAAGTCTCGAGCACTTGTCCCGATGAACAGGCGCGGAGCACGGCGACACACCAGGTACAACACACGGCAGCTGTTCGGTTTTGTTCTTCAAATACAAATAATAACAACACAAGTCAAAATCAGATGTGCCCGTTGCCGTCGAGTCCGACTTCGGTGATGATGACGATCAGGTCGACGTAGGGACAAACGAGGCAAGTCACGACTCGGCGAAGCGCATGTGGCCGCCTGGCATCCTGAAGTCGTGAACACTGAACTTCGTCCAAAAAGAAGTCCGCCAAGTCTTTAACCGAAGGGGCTGAAGAAGAAAGGGCCGAGCAGAAGATGGTGAGGATGCTGCCGCTGACGTCACAGTCCAGCGAAAGCACTCTTTTAGATTGACGCGGCAGCGGCGGCGGCGGCAGCAGCCAGACTACCACATATGACACATCAAGCTGTTTTTTAATGCTGTGGCACAGAGCCGCGTGCTTCGCATGCCGCGTCGTACTGGAAAGCGTGCATGAGGATTCCGTCCGACCGTTCGCGCGCGCTGTCGGTCGGTCGCCCGCTCGCCCTGTCTGTCTGTCTCGCTCAGTCGACACAGATTTGCTACAGTTGGGCGGCGGGTTCTTCGTCTTCTGGATACATGTGCGACATGTACATGCATACGTCGACTTCCACCGGAGCTTCGGCTTCCGCTGTTCGCGCGGCTCCGAGCCACCCAAGGAAGCTGACCCGGAACAATTTATTGAGATTGTGGGAGTTGACCCCGCTGACTGTTTGACAGGGCAAACGACCGACCCCGTTCCGAATGCATACGTCGTGAATTGAAATCCATCTTTCAACTGGGGACGCAATAGAGCGATTAGGGAAAAGAAGGGGAGCGATTCTGTGAGGATCCTCGATCCCTTCACGCCCGAAAAATATCTCCGCAGCTGCGATCTTCGGCTTACATTACCGACCGACGCGCCGGTATCGCAATGGACGTATCGATCCATTTTTTTTGCCGTTATAGATTTGAAGTCGCTGTCGTGAACTGGAGTCGTCGATAAACCCCTGAGAGCTCACGAGCTCTGCTGCGGGAGTTCTTCCCGGAGTTTTCGCTCGGGAGGCTGCGCTTCGAGGGATGTTGATTCCGCGGAGCGCAGGCAGCGTTAGAGGTGCTTTCCAGGAGAGCACGCAACAAGAGTAAGAGCAGCTGCTGCAGTCGCAGCTGCAACAGCAAACGCCAGAGACCGCCCACAAAGTGTGTTCGTTCTCGATTGAATTACTGTTTTCTCTGGCGGCCTCGGGCTCGATTAATATCCGTTCTCGTGTTCATCTTTGAACTCGCGTTCCGTCGATGTCTGAGGAACAGATGAAGTCTTTTTCGTGTCGCCTCGTCTCGGGAGCTTTCCGTGTTTCCATCCTCCTCTGACTGGATGAGGCAGCGCGCGCACTTGAGCGGTAATGGATACATTGCAGGAAACTCTGAGCAACAGAGATACCAGCCAAAGTTTCCGCTCTTTTCGATGAGCTTCTGCCTGAGAGCGATCCATTGACTGATTCATCGATCGATCGGTCAAGCGATTGATGCAATCGCGATTTCCTTCATTTTTCCATACCAAGCAAGACGTCGAGTTTGGTGCCTGTCGACTTCAGCGGAATCGGGAGTATTCGAGAAATACGAGCGTCTTGTCAAGTTGTTCTCTGACACATGCAGGGGATTGTTGCGTGCCGTCGGCGGCCTAGTCTTGGGACCTATCGAGGTGTGCGACCCCATGCCTTCCAAAACTAACAGTTCTCTAGAATGAGTGAATAAGTGAGCAGTCAAGTCAGGGAACAAGCGGCTGGTCGAGGAGTGTCAACGGCTCCGGTGACAGCGGCAATGTTTGTCAAACCACAACAAGACGAACAGGTCTGAGAAATGAAGTCTGGCAGCCTGGTAAGCTGTCAACGTAAGACAAAACTACGAAAAGCCGTTTTCAGCGTTCCGACCACTAAAATGAAGCAGTCAGGCACACCGTAAGCGGACGAGTGGGCCGACGCAATGGTGGTTTTTCCCAAAGCATTGCGTGCCACTGCGCACCTCTGAATGTTCCGCAGCGCCTAGCTTCCTGGGGTGGCCCGCCATTCAAGTCCCGCACGAGTTTCCGCAGATGCAACTCGTAGTGGGAGTAGCAGGAGTAAGGACTCCACCATACAGTCGGAGAAGGGGTCATTTGCGACAGATCGTCGAAATCGAAGGAAAAGGTCGTCTCTCCGGGAGCTCATCTTATCGGTAAACAATGCTGCTGGCTGCTTCCGGGGCCAATCACCGATCACTTGAAATGAGAATCAGCTGGAGTGAATCCTCCAAGCACGATCCGAGCATCACATGCGTACATTTGAACGACAGCCCATTCCGTCCTGCTCCGGACTCGGGAAAGTTCCGGCGGCGACACATCCAGGACGCATGAAGACTCACAGCGATGTAATGAGTACGCCGACCTCATTTCCTCGCAGCGGATTTGCCGCCCTTTTGAACACGTACACTTCAGCAGCTTCGACTCCTGCGAAAATTAGCAAAGCAGCAGCATCTATTACGGCGCACAGAGTTCACTCAGACATGATTTATGCGCATGCGGGCAGTTTCCCCCATAAAGGAAGCCCACTGCCAAGACTCGTCACTTTAGATCTTCCGTACGGAGATGAAGAATCTCCATCACTCCGGATCAGCCCGTCCAAAAGCCGTAATTGAGCAGCGATACTATTCCTCGGAAAGTATCTTACGATCAAGAATCCGTCCACGATCTTACGCTCAAGAAGTATCTACTCCAATGTTGATCTGGCCAAGTCTTCATTGAGTACTGAATGTTTATTCTGTACCGGTGTTCATCTCAAGGGGTTCTCCGACTGCGCTCTTTTCCGAACAGTTCTTCTGCGCATCTCTACCTGCCGGCAAGTGTCACCGTGATGAGCACAACCGATTCAGAAGAAGTCGCCACCACCGGCCGCGAGCATTCATGCTTGCTGGGAAATCTCACGACGGCGAGAATTCGATCACTCCTTTTCTCTGGTGGCGCTGAGCAACAACTAGATGTGGGAGACCGCCGGACTCAGCGGGAGGTTTTCGACGTATCTCTTGCATGGTGTCGAGACGCTCGTTTTCCGGCCCTCTCGAACACACCTCCGGGGGCGCTCCTTATGTTTTCTCATATGTGCATATGGAAGTTCAAATTAACACAACCGGAACCCTATCCAATTCCTCAAGTGGGAAACCCGCTTTACACTGCCACCTATGTCACATTCGTGTGGTGCTTATATATAGAAACTTCCGAGGGGCTCATCTCCAACAGAAAGCTGGCGAGTTCGCTCAGTCCGTTCCGTCTTGGGCACTTTGTTCACGGTCATTCCGGATGTTGTGATCGGGATTTCCAGAAGCAAACATTTGACCTAAATTGCAACAAACGCTCCAGCGGGCGAACACTACGCCGCTGTCGGGCTCCGGATGACGTCAGCCCGACGAGCCGCAGTTCGGAAACATCGTCGTCGGGGGCTGCCCACGTTTGGCAAGAGTTTACTCACCGTCGCCGACGTTTGAAAATTCCAATGAACGGCGGAAGCTGATGCTGTACGCCGAGTTAATTTACGTTGTTCTCGGTGCTCGATGGCAGATTTATGCTGTTGCCGTCGTCGCTGCGGCGATTCGCATCGGATTGAGTATACGCTGGGCGAAAAAGCCAAGACTAGGATTTAGGGAAGCACAGCAGGAAAGATGTCACGCGCATCCCCGAAGGATAGCGAAGGGAAGGCTCACGAAAACCGTCACTCTCAATGTCGAAGTCACGTACTTATAATATTCTAATCATAATTATTAATACATATTAGCATCATGTGAGCGCGAGTCTGATGATGTCATTTCCTCTCAGAGGTCCATTGTCATCATTATGTTACCTGTATAAAATCTCAAGAATCGATGCGTTGAGCTTCGCCCATTTCTCATTGAGGGCCGAAGCAAAAAGCAAATGATCCGAGAAGCGGATGCAAAACTTGAGCGGTGCTCGATCATAATTTCATCATGATCATACTCTCATCATTTTATAATGCACTTTCATGTTGTTTATTGTATATGGCATTCACGCTGCCCGTTCACTGGATCGGTCTGTGTTTTCCCGAAAATTATCGGCGGTTCGCGCAGGAGTGCCACTGACAGCTGAGAGTTACACTCCTCGATCGAGCACGAAGATGAGATACGAAGTGTTGATTTCCCCGCATAGCAGCCGTCACGTATCGAGAAGGTGTCAAACCTTCAAAGAGAAGGTCTCGGGTGATCCTTCGGATCTTTTAGTTCCAGGGTCCGAAGTCTTCCACAGAAGTATTGCATGACAAGAAAACCACCTAGTTGCCAAAACGATATCTCCATGGGCCATCATCATCAGCAAATGTATGAGTAGGGAATATCAGATGCGTCGGATGACTCTCCTTGGTTAGCTGCTAATAGAAAAAAGAAAAGAATGCATCAAAGTGCTGACGAGAAAAACGTGCCACGCGGACCAATGCTGGTGTGATATTCCGCCGAGGATCCGAGAACAACACTGGCAGTTCAATGCCAAGTCATCGGGACGAAAAGATATTCCGAGAGAAAAATGAGCGAAGAACGCCGACTCATTTTTGCAGAGTTCATCAAGCTGCCGAGCAAAGTCACCAAGTGCAAAAAATGACATTTCACTTTTGATAGCTCTGACGATGGGCGAAAGGGATCCATGAGATATTTGATGAGGGTTGATTCCCGATTCCCACCATCGGCACGCCACGTGCCAGAGCTTGAGCAGAGCAAATAATTTCCGCACGGCAGTTGGAACGTCGAACTCCTCCCTACTTATCTCTGCTGTCATGGCACCGAGACCTCAAAGGAAGCGCATTTCGAGATCTAGAATCATTCTTCTGTCTGGGTGATATATCTACCGAGAGCGCGCGAACGAGGATTCAGGCCTCGAAGATCCCTCCGTCGTCTTGAATATAGCTCTTGAATGTATAGCTGTTCCATGACCGAGAAGCTCCCCCCGTCAGAGAAGTCTCGGTGAGGGAGAAGAACTTGCCGACTTAGGAAGTATAGCGACTCAGAAGAGTCGGAACACGTGGAAATTCGCTGTATGTTTGCGTCTGACCGCAGATATGGTGTGGGCGGGTTCGAGTCCGGAGGGCTGTGAAATGCGTCTTGGGAGCGCACTCCGATTCGCTCGGACTCTCTGATCCGACAACTCAGATAGCAAAGTTTGTATACACAGCGCCTAAAAACATACAGAGACTTTTCTCTCGTCCGGGACGATCCTACGCTTGGTTCACGACGGTCCTTGATAGGGAAAAGGATTTCATACAGCGCATGCCCCCGCGTTCTGGAATCTCCCGTTCTTGGGGACCTGTTGTCCCCCGTCGGCTACCGTGTCGTCGACGAGGACGGGGAAAACGGCACGAAAATCGAATGAATCCTTGAGAGCTTTTGCGGCGTGTGATGCTGACCCGCAAAGCACCGTGGACGACCATCGCAGACGGGTCAAAAGATAGTGGTCATCTTCTAACAAGGGCTGCGGTATTGAAAGCAGCGGAGACATAGGCGATGCGGACTCCCCTAAGCAGGGGACACCTTGCGCGGAGATCCCTGAAAAACTTCAGGACTTCGAGTCGGGTCATAAGTCAACACATCCGATCCCATCCTCGAACGTCTCGTAGGAGCCTGGCTCGGAGACCGAAGATCGAAGTGATGGAGATTAATCCATGTTCGAAATGAGTCTCCCATCACTTCACATCGGAAGAAATACTTCGACGACACTTGACGATGCCCTTTTGGTGCTTGCGTGGATAGAACTATCTGAAGTGCGAGGTCATTTTGAGAAATGGGCAGGTAGGTTGGTGTGCACATTCCGCAAGGAGAACATAACTCTCGGTCACCCACGCAGGCGCCGGCGCAGACGGCGCTATGTTATGCGCCGTTTCATCTTCTTTTGTCGTGGTGCAACACGCCCGCGGCTAGTCTGTGCGGAAGTCGGTTTGTCCATCAGTTCCGCCGCGGGTCACCGCGTCACGGAGAGGGAAGCAGGGTGGATTCGGTGGACCCTGGATCCTGAGCTTCGGTCGCATCTCAGAAAATAACATATTTCAAATCTGCCAAGCAAGGAAGTACCTACTTTTCTCGAGCGGAACCTCCATTTGCGGGACGGGAAAACCTTTTTGCAACAGGGATCTCCTTCGAGATGGGAATCGCCTAAGGGGATGAATTGCGGATAGGATTCGGGAACATTCAAATGTCACATTGACCGAGTTCTCCACCGGCTGTCAGGCGTTGAGCAAGCTAGTTCGCTTTACTCGAAGCTTCATAAATTGAAGGAAGGAGCCGTACTGGCGGCTCGCTTAGTCGCTGGAGAAATGGAGACGGCGACGACGTCGACGAGGAAGAGAGCCACGATCACGAAATCCTCTTTGAATATTTTCCGCTTTCTCCCCTATGTACGCTCGCTATCTCCCACACGCTCGATGAAAGTGTTGCTAAGTAGATTACGCTCAGTGCATCGAAGCGCACAGGACACCCAGCTGTACCTTTTGTTCGGCGGCGGGACAGATACGCAGCATAGTCGGAGTGAACGCATATTTATTGCATACATTCCCTATCGCTTCAATTTAGATTGACAGTCAGAATTTCGTCTCGGCTTCCGCTAGAATTTGATTCATGAGAGGAGCGACTTGAAAAAACGATTCAACGAGCGGTTCATCTGACGAAGTGTGAAAAATGTACGGGTTAAAGTTCCTGAACGAGGGAGGGATGGGACGGCATGAACGAAGAAAAATCCGGCATGAAATGAATGTCTGAGGAATTTTCGAAAGGATTTCCTCGAGAGAAAAAGACGAAACTGGTATCGAGGAGCGGAGGCACTCGGGCACGGACGGATACTCCGTCGCAGGATGGCTGATTTTCTCTCTCGAGTCATACGACGAATCGATTTGCGACGACAGCCTTCAGGGATTCTGAAAATTCCACGATGATCCCCGTGCATAGACTGTCATTCGCGATGATTCTTTCCTGGCCTTCTCCCCCTCTCGCATCGGAGCATCAGACGTATCGATCGAAGGAGCGCTTCCGATTCGGAACACTTCAACGAGAAGAGTTCCGGCCGGAATCAATAAATAAACATAAGCCGAGCTCCGGCCGCCTGGGCTCTACCTCAGAGATGTCCTGACACCGAGTCTCCAACGGTTATGGAAAGCAATTGAGGTACGAGGTAGCGGCCACTCTGGCATTAGCGAAGGAACGCGGGTAGTTTCGAGTGTACTCCGTGATCGGGATCATTCTTCCGCGCTCTGCTGTGGAAGAATGGGTCATCAACGTAGCAAACGCATCCAGAAGGGATTGGGAAAAGGTCCACCTGCGGCTTCTGACTTGGATCATGAGGGTTCACGGCTATCAGGGGGAAGAGCATTTCGCGCTGCTTGCAGGCTGTCTTGAAACAGGGCGCCATGTACTCGCACGGTTTGTCACGGTAGCGACATTTCTCCACGCGGGTCGTTTGAGGGAACCTCTCTGTGTTGACGACAGCCATCCAGTGCCCCTTGTAGTTTTTGGCCCAACCTGGGAACGGAGAATAATAATCTTGTCGTACTTGATTTCTTTTTCACTGGGCAGAAACGCCAGACTTTCCGAAGAGGGAATCTCTCCGAAGGTACTGGGAGTATTCATCTGGTCTATTGGAATCGAATGCGATAGAATGAATCTGAACGTCTCATCCGGAAGGGCGGAAATATTGGTCTCATTCGTCACGGGCCTTCGTGTAGTGAAAGCAGAATATTAAACGACGTAGAACGGCTCCGATGATACGCTTGCTCCACTGAACAACGTCATATTGCCGATTGGGGGAAACTCCACTGCCACGGAGGGCAGGCGGGCGGGCGGCTGTCGCGTACAAAGAGAGACGCGGCTACTTGGGCATAGAATGCGCGAGATCGACATAAATTTTTATTGTTGCTCCATTCACATCATTGTTGACAGACAGCCGAGCGAGCTAGCGCACAGCCATTTGTCTCGATGCCGGCGATTCGATCGAAATCGCTCAGCGATGTCGACAATGTAAGTTGACAATCTTTTCCTAGTGCACAAATCTCTAAAGCAGATGGGACCAAGTACGGAGCAGACTGAATCAACTCGAGGGAATGAAGTACCCATATAATCGACACAGCGTATGGATTCGTAAAAAAATCTCTGATGATTCACAGCCATGGAGCTTTCTCTTGCGATGGTATTTTCCCCGTCTCAGTTAGCGCGGGGAACCACGGGAGGTTGGAGACGATACCGGAGCGGAGGTTGAGAGCTTGGGCCGGAATAAAAATCCGGCTGAAAGTCGAGTCACCCCTCAGGATCGACGGCAGAGGCAACGGCTCTGCTTCAAAAAAGGAGGTCGTCGATGCCACCTCTTCGCTAGAGGGGAGAGTTTACTTCCTTTTTTTCTCGTGGAAGCAAACAGAGGCAAAGAAGCATTACTTCCCCACTCGAGTGCCGAGGAGACGTCTAGGCAACCACAACGAATCCGTTCTATTGTTTGCTTTTCGCTCATTCCGTAAATTCTGATATGTGAGAGAGTATCGGAAGTGCCTCCGACCGCGTTTCGTTAGGGTGGAGAATCGAAGTGCTGCTTCGTGGTATCCAGGAGGAACCTTCCGAGAGATGGGGAGCGGATTGCCCTAGTCTGCCGTCTGAGATATCGCACGAGTCAGCTTCACACACTTCCGAGAACCTCACTAAAGCGGAATTCATCGCTCCCACCTCGCCGGGCAGAGCGGGGGCAACCAGAGAGTCGAGGAAAGGGAATCTCCGAGCGAAAAAGACAGACGTTTCTCGAATCCTCCCCTCCTGAATTGTTCTGGTTTCAACTTCCGCTGCCCGTCCTTCTCTGAAACTCGCGGCCGAAGTTTCCAGGTGGGCTATATCCGAAGACTGAATAGCGGTTTTCAGAGAGGCCGACCACATTGAATCTATTCGGTTTCTCCAGCCTCCTCCAAATTAAATCCTGGAGAACGATTCTGAGTGGTTGCTGCTACGGCGCATCGTCGTGAAGACGTCCGTCTTCGAAAAATGTTCTCGCTCATTTTTTAACGCTTGAAGCAGCTACGTTTGGCTTGCCTTCTTCCAACTTGGGCCCGGTGGAGGTCCCCTCACCCTCTCTCAACGAGGTGGTCGAGAGCTCTCAAAGACTCTCGAAAACGAGGCCCTGCAGACGCCTGAGGCGATTTCCAGCAGGCTAACTTTCAATTCGGTCGACTGCGAGATATACGCACCTTGAAAAACTTCAACAATCACTGGGTATGAGGGAATTATTTCTTATCCCGAGAGTACCTATTCCGATGTGAAGCTATGCAATGAATGTGCTGTAAACTCACCGATTCTGAGGTAGGATGTTTCGCTCCGACAGACGGAATCGCCGTGCTCTTTCTCCTGACTGAAGGAATGCGTGAAATTCTCAACCCACTGGACCTCATGGGGTGGGATCTTATACATAGCGTGATAAAGGTCGTACATCTGGTTGTAGTACCGGTCGACGATGGTTTGGACCTTCTCCCTGATGAGAAAATTCGGAATGTATTTATCGCTGGAGGTTATTAGGGGTAGCGCGGGGAGCACCGGGTTGTCCTGAAAATTCAGTGGTACAGCATAGGGGCTTCGGAAGATCTACTGATTCCTCAAATTTTCACTCGACAGCCCGCTTTTCCCCAATAATTGATGTACATCTTGGCGAGATTAGCTAAGAGCCGGATATTCCATGAGGAGCAGGACTCCTCGTCGGGTAAATCTTCGAGGCCCTGGCCTGAACTAGAACTACTCACAGAGCGAAGATCGTCCCTGGATCATACCCCGAATGAACCGGGTCTCGTTTCTAGTTTTTCTTCTCCACTTCGTGCGCAAAAATAAGCTCATCCCCCGAGTGCGTTTTCTGCGTTGATTCATCGGTTTCAGATTTTTTCTTCCTCGTCTCCAATTGCTTCCAAGGGAGGAGAACATGGATTTAGGGGCGCTCCCTAGGATTCCTAGAAGACAGGCCCTTTCCTTCCGCAGCTCGCAATCCTCGTTTCCTCGCTCGCTATCATTCGTCTGCTAGCTCTCGGCAGTCGAGTGGAAAAGCGGAAAAGAGTGAAAGGAGCTCAGACTTGGAGGAAAAATAGGACGAGCAAAGGATTATCCCCAGGAATAACCGCAAGCCATTCGCTACTTGGAGCAGATTCCTATCCCCAGCTGCGTCGAGGGTTAGAGGGCGAATGCTGGATGAGCACTTCTCTTTCTTTTTCCCGGCAAGCCTCCCGTAGATGTTCAACCTCCGTGCCCAATGGGGAAGGGATCGGAGCAATGGGGGGTGGGCTGACGGGCTTCTCTGTGCGCTTCTTTCCCATCGACGTTGAAGCTGACTGAGTGCGCTACTTTGAGTCTGAACATAGCACGAAGGACTGATTCGGAAAATTCCGACCGAGAGCGTGGTCCGGCGGAAGATAAATCCGCATCGAGTCCGCTCTGACGTGAATGGGGAGCTTCTACCGGATTCGGTCGCAGACCTGTTTGACGTCAGCTCCGTGTCTCGAATCTGACGTCGCTCCATCCGTGCCATCTGCGTAACAGGTGGCAGATGCGGTGATTTCTGCGCACGGAAATATTTTCAGGCTTATTAGACCGCGCGAAGTGCCGCACTCCGTCCGAGTAAAGTCCGTTGATACATCAAAGCGAGACTCTCGATCAGGATTCACCGCCGGGGCGGCTCGAGAGTTGGCTAGTCTGACGTCTGAACCGCTCCCCTGAGAGATATCCACCATAATGGGAAACGGTGCATTCTCTCTTGCATTCCGCATGGAATATTTGTCGCGTACACCGCCGTCATCCTGAGGCTGTAATGATCCCAATACAGTCGTCTCCTGATGGAGCTTGGTTGACAGTTAGCTGCATCTCGCTCGCATCTGATAGTTAATTCACTACTGGGAGCATCCGACAGATGGAACTTCCGCCGAAAACATATGATGCAAGCGGTTTAAGCGACCGGGTGAGGTCCTCATCGCTGCGGACTCCTCGACGGGCCCTGCAGGTGCTGTGTTGTTTATCCTGAGCCATCGGATTGCTTTTTTTCCGACGCAGCGGAACAGCTCCGAGAATGATAGCGGTGCGCTATTCCCTTTCTCTTTTCCTCTCCGGCTCCGATCCAAAGTACGAGGTTATTGGAATCCAAGCCTGCCAAAGTGGAAACACAAAAACTCCCATTTCTCTCTTCGAAAATCCTCCCATTCCTCGTTCCTTGCTTGATCTCTAAAGTATCGACAACTTCCGCCGGGAAATCCTTTCCCGGGCCCGTCCGGGCAGGAGCCATGATTGCGGCTGGCGTAGCGTGCCACGCTGGCGATGCCTGCCCTCGGGCCCGCTCCCACGAATCGCGACGTGCTACTCCGGAGAATCGAGTAACTCCCCTCGGCTTCGAGATATGAGAAGGAGGCGGTGAATGCTCGTGGAATACCTATTCTGGGACGCGATGGTCTCTAATTTGAAAAACCAGAAAACTTCTCTAACAGAGCATTTCTCTCGCATGCGCGGTCGACAGCACCTAAATTCGACGCACCGATTCCCCTCTCTGAAAATCAAGTTCGGGGATTTCGCTTTTCGTCGAATACGAGATACCGTCCCCCGACCGAGTTTCTAGGAGCCTTTCCGGTGAATTCTGACATGATGTTACAGACTATATGAATCACAAATAACGAGAAAATCGAGCATGTTCTCAAAGCAGCAGAATTACAGCTTTGCCTCGAAGAGATGTCCCCATCTATGGCGAGTGTTGAGCTCGAACACGCTCATGAATGACCTCTAAGCAGCGATAAATATAATCTGAGTGAAATCGTCTACATCAGGCGCATAGAAGATTTCGAAACGGCCTTCGCGACCACCTGCGGGATGGTACGCCCTCGTTCAGGAGGAGTGAGGAAGTTCCCCGGGGAACTCGGTCTCGCTCTTTTCGTCGACTATCTGTCTCAATTAGTCTCCCCATCTCTCTATCTTTCTGTCGTAGTCTGAAAGTCGGAGACCGTTGTCCTCCTCTCTCGCGAGCTCATATCGCCCGTGCACTTCGAATTCCTCTCTTAGAGCTCGTAAACTCCCCCTCGAGGTGGAGTTGCCGGGCAGGGAAAATGAGCCGAGAACTCGAAATTCAGTCATCCAGTCGAGAGTAGCTCCTCTTCTCCGACCTCGGAGCAGAGTTCGGTTTGTTCGGAAACTTCTCTCGAAACGGACGCGGAAGCGACTAGCAGGCGACTCTATGGTTGGATCGGGTCCTTGGTCCAAGAAATTTAATATCTCTCTCCTCTCCTCGTCACAGATTTCCGTCACTCTCTACGATAGGCCGCTTCTCCCGAAAACCTGTTAATGGAACAGCTGTTGCTCTCTTTTTTCTTCGACTGGAACCACTCCGCTGTCCGCACTCTACCCGATGGGCCGCGCTTCATTGCGATTCCTTTGTTCGACCCCAGGTCCATCCGTCCGGCAGGCGCCATGATTCCGCTGTTCATTTCGCAGGACACGTGGAGCAGGTGTTTGTTCTTGTGCTTTCGAAGAAGCTCGAGACCGAAGAGGCGGAGTACGGAGGCGTCTCGTGACAGCGCTCTTTGTTTGTTTATCAAGTGATGCAAAAGATGCATGGGCTGCATTAGCCCGACAGGCACTCTTTCCGAATGAAGCCGTCGCATCGGTCATCGTGGAAAATTCACGGGAATAGAGCGGCTAATGCAAGACTGAACGTTTGCGTAAGGTCGAGACCCAAAGATGTCGGATGCTGGCTGGGGCATGCCCAGATTTAACTCGGTTGAGGGGGGGGCGAGTCGGATGGACACCATGGTCCCTTGCCTCACCTACCCTCCATGCCTATCGAATGCTTGAGTATCCAGGCGAATCCGGGAATCGCCCGAGACAGGGAGCTATTAGGGCAAGATGCGTCTATCGATATCGAGCTGTCTGTCGTGCCGACTGGTATGAATTAATGACGGCGGGGGCACCGGGATCGGTGGATCTCCAGATCAGAGCTTGTTCAGGCCGGCGGCGAATAAACCGCGCTCTCGTTCGTCGCAAACTAGCGCTCAAAGTAAAAGAGAGCGACCAAATTGAATCAAGCCATCGCTGCGAATTCGCTCCTCCGACGCTCGACGGAGAACGTTGCGATCGTCTTAGCGGATTATCGAGGAGAAAAGCAGAGCGGGAGAGAGAATATCGATATAAGTGAGTATTGGTCATTAGATCACATCTCCCACGATTACCGCCGCGCTCAAAAAACTCCTTCTGCGGTGGAATGACATCGAGAGGCGGAGACGTGGCGGGCAAGAGAAACGAGATCATGTCCTGCTCTAGGCGTTGGCATCCAGCTTTTACAGCTTTGTCGGCCTCGATCCGAGCGAGGCAACACGCCCACGGACGAGGAAACGTGTAAACGTCCGGAACGGGTTTCGGGGTCCGGAGAACTTAGTTGGTAGGGCAACAGTTGATCCGCTGCAGGCGGGGAAAATAACACGATGGAAAAATGCGGAGCATGCGATTATTCTCCATCAGGCTAGAGACTTCGCCTATCTATCAAAGCCGGCTCTTCGGAAGCCTTCCTAGTGCCACAGAGCAGAACAAATGGACCTACAATCTATCCTCGAGCGTTTCCCGGAAACCTAATTCCAGGATTCAGGAGACAACAATTTTCCCGGGAAACAACTCGATTCTGATCGCTCAGTCGTGATTCAGAGGAGAACTTACACTGGATAGTCATGGTTGTGGGCACAAAGATCGAGCTCCCGGGCGCATGCGGGTCTGGCGTCGGAGGCGAAACCCGGTGGAACTGGCTCCCCTCGGTGGGGCGGCCCTCCACGATGCGACGGGAAACTGTCCTTCGCTTTTGGGAATCGGTAGTCGTCGTCTACGCCGGGGGCATCGTCGAAGTCCCTGGAACGTGAGAGGATGATCCTAAAAATTCGAGGAGGAAATCGGAAGAGCTTCCCATCCCTCGCTCCTCAATTGATCGAAGTTCTGAGCTTGCGAAATATACTGAACGATTGAGAGACCGCAGCCGAACAAGAACATACAATGGGAAAAATGTCCAATATCCCCCACTCGGAGACAAGCTTGGTGACAGGCGGGGCACGAAAGAATGGAGAGACAGAATCTCGATTTTGAGCCTATAGAGCGAAGGGCTTCGGTACCGGACTTCCTTTCGCAATGGCTCGCTGGGAGCAAGCAGGCATCGACTTGCCAGCCTCTCTCACGCTGGCAACTGACAACAGCAAGGAAATTCAAGGAGAAGGCGACAAGCAATACGAATCAAAGACGAGAACGACAACGATTAGTCGCAGAACAGTTCGATTTCCCCGATATTCCCCCTTCCCGGACGGGAGGGAGGATTCTCCATTGGAATACGGAATCGATCTGTCGAGCCCCGAAAATTGTCGATTCATTATTCGGGAATTCCTTATTGGGACTGAGTTTAGAGAACTCCCGGGATCCGTCTCGGATAATCTAGCTCATTCCTCCCCGAGCCGACCACCAAGCACTATTCCCGGAGAGCGTCGAGCAGGAAAGCGAGACCGATAATTTTTACGTCTCTGTTAGCCCTGTGGTGATTGGCCAGCGAGGATGTCCCGAGTTGGGCCTATCCCAAGCTGATAGGCCTCGTCATCTCTGCAGATGAGGAGTTTCCGATTGGCTCTCGTGGATCATTCGGCTCGACGCGTCCGTCTATACTGAGTTTTCGACCTTCCGACAGTTTCAACACCGCAATCTAAGCCCGGAAATCGGAAGAAAACGCTTAGCGTGTAGAAAAATCGTTGCAATATAGTAGGGTCTGCGAGGAGAGCTGCTCCCTAGATCCACTGTTCGAGAAAGGACCTTGAGCGACAGTGTCCGTTCATTGGAAGTGCCAAGACTTTAGTCAGGAACTGAGGGAAAGCTTTGCGGAGAGAGAGAGCGCTGTGGATCGATGCTACCGATTCCGCGCCTTGAATGACGCACAACGACGCTTGACTTAATTCGGCAATCTGCACTCCTGTTTTTCTAAGACGGTCCTCCTCCCCCCTTTCAATTGAGTTGGGAATTGGCCGCTCGAGCTGGCGGAACAGTTCTGTGACTGGATGAATAGCGTCCGAACTGAGGCATATCTGTCACCGAGCTGAGTGTACATCTCCATGAGACCCGGATAATATTGAAGCACCACACCGACGAGTCTCATGTAGTGAATTGATCTCTCTATCCAGAATGTTCGTGTCGAAAGGGAGTGCTCGCCCGATGCGCGGGAACAATATCATTTTCAATCGCTTCCTCGAGGAGATCCGAAACACTATTATGAAGATTAGAAGGCATTCTCTTACGATCTTTCATTGTCTCAAGGACACGAGACATTGCTTATTCAGATATTCCGGCATGGATCGGGTTGTCAACAAAGCTGCGGGATAATCAGACTCTCGCAGCCGATTCCCCTCATCATAGGATTCCAGGCGCGATTCCGGAGAGAATCTCCGGAAGTTCGGCGTCGAGAAATCTATTGAGTCTCGAGGAGCATATCGGCTCTCGGAATCGGTAGAGCTCTCCGGAGCGAAAGTTCGTTGTCGCGCATATCCTGGCAAAATCAGGACGATCTTGTCAGAGTCAACACCGTGGATGGAAAGCTCCAAGTGAGGACCCGCCCACCTGCCTGAACTGGACTTGTCAGATTAGACTTGCTTGGATGCGTCGAAAAGGATCTTATCTATGTACGCTTTCTCCCTAGGTCTGAGCCTCTATAACGGCTTACCTTCTATCATCGAGTATCCCTGGACGCCTTTCGGGTTTTCGGTGGAGCCGGTGTGGGTTCGACGTCAACGACCCTCCATCGCGCGGACGACTCTTCGAATGCGTTTGGCCATAGTGATCCTCCCGTGATACGGAATGATCGCGGCGTGCATCATCGTGTCTCACGTCCCTCTCGTCGTCATTAGGGAAGATCTTTATTCCGTGGTCTTTGCGAAGCTCTATATCCACTTTGCGAGTGTCGCGGTCCCTTTGATCCCTGAGGCGGAAATCTCTTCCGTCCCCAACGTCACCTGGTCCGATCCCCCGATCCAATCCTTGTCCCGGTCCTCCTTCGACACGATCACCGGCATTGTCCTTGTCGTGCTCCTTCTTATAGACCACAATGACGGAAGATCCCGAAGACGAGCCGAAAACGCGTTCCTGTCTCTGCTGGGCCACCACCTGTCCATCGGCGAGCATAAGACCGAGCAGCAGGATGTGTGCGAACTGCAAATATTGTTCCACGAGCCGTTAGTTCGCTAAAACTTGCGTTCCCTTTCTCCTGCACGATGTGTCAACGGAGACGCCGAAGAGCCACGGTTCGAACCCTTGGATCACGGCTCGAGTACATCCGTTCGCATCTGAGAGAAACAAGTTGTTTCCCTCAGAATGGAACTCTTTCGACGTGCGCACAACGACTCCCGAGGGATGCTTGGAACAAACACTCCTCACGGGCTGCGGGGAAGCTTTGCTGAGTGGAAGAGCGAGCGAGTTTGTCGGACGCTCAGCCGGCGCAAGGCGGGATGGACGAGCAGGCAAACGGCCTGTTCCTTCCTAGTTTCTTTTGAATGTACCTACTTCCGACGCCCGTCCGCGACGGGCCTGGCTGCTTCTATTTGTGAACACGTTAAGGAAAAGTCCATCGCTCAACTACAAACTCCCCCAAACTAAGGACTACAAGCGAGAAAGAGCGCGAGCTAGAGGAAAGTTGGACTCAGCTTGAAAATTTCAGAATCACTCACTTCACGCCGAGCGCCCCCGCCCGCCATGAAATTTTTCCCACCAATGGAATCGATGCGGACGCGTATCTTCAGGCATCCGGAATTTTCAGGGAAATTCTGTCTTAGCTCATCGAAACATAGGGCCACAAAAGTCCGGAGAACAAGTCGATCTCAGCATTCGAGTCTCTCCCGACTAGTAATCTTGGAATTATGGCCCGATCAAGATCTTCGATTGTTCGGCTACGACTTTTCAGACTTCCGGCCGAGATTCGGTGGGTTCGAGCGAACGCTAGTTAATGACGAGGCATCGGGCGCTCGTCGACGAGAGCCAACGCGACGGTGGAATTTCCCATCAGATTCACTATCATCGATCTAGACGGGCGTTGGCTCACCGTGGAATACAAACGAGGCTTGCCCACCGAGGCTCAAAGTTCTACACAAAACAAGTAGATAGCTCCGTTCCGGACGTAAGACCAACGGCTTCTGATAATCAAAGCAGATTCCGGAGAAACGGAAGGTCACGGAGAACTTTTCCGCGAGTGCTCGGAATCCGGGGAACTCGACGTACGATTTCTACTTTTGGCGCGAATCAACGTCGGTAGGGTCCTCCGCTCACCATCAGGTAAGTCGCCAGCAGGTTCTCGACTGACTTAGCGAACGGATCCGAGAGGTTCTCAAAACCGAGGGGCTGCGCGTCGCATAGCTCCAAGACAAGGGGACTTACCAATCGCATCGTGTGAGATCCTTTGGAGCGCACACACCGAGTATCGGAGGAGAACACACCAGGCTGATGGGATAACCGAAGACGCAGCAGAAATGCCGTCTTCTGGCTGCGACCTACGATTATAATTTGCGGTGGTCTTTCTCGGCTTGCTGGCGGTCAAGGATCGTGGTCGTTTGCCTCTCCCTTTTGCTCACATTTGCTTGACTAATTGTCACGGACTTCGTACTTTTCCCTTACGGGCGGGTGTGTTTTCTGTGAGGTCACATACGAGCGGAGACCGATTCCCAAGCAAATGAGGAGCAGCGTGTCCTAAGGGGGCGGGTATCCGCTTCGGCAGTCGAGGGCGAATTCCGAGACGGAAGTCCATCGCTCCACAGCCCATCAGGAAAGCCTATCGGAGAACTCTTTCGTGAACACCATCGGCGGGATTTCCTTATCGAGTCCAATCTCGAGGATTCGACAGCTCGATCAAGGAGATCGGGAGCCACCATAACGTAGTTCATCAGTCAATGATCTTCTTGATTTTCATCCTTTCTCCATGCATCTCGATTCCTGATTTGATCGCCGCGCCGGCACCGTGGGTTGAATTTCCGCGTATATGTGAACCTCCAGAAAGAATCACACGCTTGTCGAGGGCATTGTCCGACCTCCACGGAGTCGCTTGCGGGCATTGCGAGAGAGAAGCGCAATAAAACGACTACCTACTCGACATAAGTCACCTCGTTTTGTATCCTCAGCCCGAGTTCTTGTCATGGCTTCAGCGGTAGTGTAGGACGGCCCGGAAACACGTCATACTAGATATGAAGGTCGGCCTATTTATAGTGGGTTTCATAGTTGTAGGTATACTATTATTAGGGAGGAGAACTCGCTGCACGGAGCACATTGCACTCGATGCGAACGTAAATTTCCGCCGACGGAAGCGACGAGGCGGAATATGCTGCATTTAGACCAGTGTCTATTTCTGCTTTCCCCGGCCTGTCGCGGTATGGTCTGTGGGAAGTCACATCCGTTGGAGCTTTCCCTCATCGTGTTGGGGGTATTTTCCACAGCATTCGGTGGCCGAGAGGGCATGGATTTGAAATTGAATGATCCTGGGCCGTACGCGCTTATCGGAAGATGTTCGAGGCGGAGTTCAGAAATAGAATTGTCCTGCGCCGACGTGGACGCGAGCTTTGGAAACTAGAGTAGATAACACAGGGGCATGACAAAAGCGAGAACCAGTAACAGAAACTTCATAGCCATCCCCAGAACAATAATCGGCGCGGGCATTCAAACGAACCGCTCGGCCTAGAGCTCCAGCAAGATAAGCTAACAGTATGGCTATTCGACAGTTGTTTCGAAAATACATCGCATATACAGATCGACAGAAAATCTAAACGATCTCTTGCTCGTAGCGTTCAGGGATTTTTCGGGGAAAGATAGATACCCTCGGATAATTTTCCATTCAGGTGATTACGATCAGTGAGGCTCCGCCCATCCAGGGAGGCAGCAAGGATGCACACGGACATATACATCGCCTTCCTCTATCGAGATCCCTGGCCCGAGACTTCTTCTCCGAATGATCTCGCAGAATGAGGCCCTTCTCCGTATCCTGGAAATCGCCCCTGTACGACTGAGCTCCTGGCGACCGGGATCATCTAGTGCGAATTATTTACGGCTCCCGTTTTGGGGAGAGAAAAACCTGTCACACGATTCATTCATGGCGCGCCGTCCATTCATTCGTCCGTGCTGAGCCGGACGGAGCCGTCGGTAAGTCATTAGGTGGTCGCGCCGACGCACGGACGGACGGGGTTGACGTTCAGTTAGGGCAGAAAACCGCCGAGAAAGTGAGACGTGCTCCGTGGAGATAGAAAGTTAATGAGAAGACTTCACCCACTGTGTGTCCATTGTCTGCAACAGTCGTTCCATCACATCGGCCTTGACCGTCAAGTCGTCATCGTCGTCGTGGTTGTCATCCCTTTCTGGATCACGCGAAATGCCAACTGCCCAAAAACCCGCCAAGCTCGAGAGGTAAGAAGCTGGAAGGCAACTACTTGATTCGCTGTTTCCGCATTAGAAAAATGAAATTCGTACATCCGTCGTATTTCGTTGGCGATCCGGCCTCGCAGTGCTCGCTCAGCACATTTTGTTAAACAAGGTCGAACGCGTCGGAGTTCCTACCGTCCGCTTCCTTTCCAAGAAACGGAATTCCGGGGCTTCTACCCTGAGGGCAATCATCATCGCCCGAATGGATTGGTAAGCTCATGAAAGTCCAAAATACTTTTTTTCTCCGGTGTTCTAGGATTCTAGAGCGATAGAGTGATCCCGAGCGCGGTCCAGCTGCATCTAGCCCGCTCAGGAACATGGTCGTTGGCAAGATGGCCGATCATTTCGGGGAATCGGAGCGTTGAACAGCAGGTGCTGTGAGCGGAGTTTGGCGACTCTCGGAGCTGCTGGATTCCCGCTCTGCATGGAAGTGAAGAAAGAGAAACGACGAATCGGGCATCGATTCGAGCTCTCTCATCGAAACTTCGGTAAGGGACGTCCGAGGAGAGTTCGCGCTCAAGACCCTCGATCTGTCTGAATCGCTCGGCACGGGTCTGGCGCGACGGGATTCATTCGGATTTTTCGGGGAACCCGAGAGACACAGAGGACGAGTGAAACGCAGTCCGACCCCTCTCAAGACGAGATATGACCTGTCAGTCCGGGCTCTCTTTTCGAGAATAACTGAGTTGTTCTCTAGCAGAGAGACGGACGGACAGGCGAGCAAGCAGCTGAAACTCAATTAGGAGAGCCAGCGAGGACGAAGGTACCTGTGGAATGTTCATGGGGATCACGTTTGCACGTTCGTAAGTCGGAAGAGAGGAAGTCGTTCTTCCAGAAGCGCACTGCAACATCGCTCCCGCTATTACCACGCTAATATCAAAAACACGCGCATCGCGTGAGTCGGATGTTTTCTGCTGTCGGGAGTGAAAGCTGAGTGAGAACCGCCTCGTCGTCTCTCACCTTGGCAGCAATCGGTGGGCACCTCGAACGGCTGATTTCCCAGCTTTTGACTGCGCCCAGACATGTGCCTGAACGAGGATTGAAACAGTACTATTGTTTCAATACTACTGTTACAGTAGGTACTTGTTTTACAGCGGGTTCCCCGAATATTTCATTTTCCGTAGTCTCCATCATACCAGACGGTTCCGCTCGAGCCGCGAATCGCGACGACCCCACGTATTCTCCCGCACCGGGAGGCTCCGTTCAGCTCTATCAGGCGCTCCGGATGACCGTCGCAAAGAAGTTTCTTGAAATCGGAAGCAGGAAATTGTAAAAGCCGAGCGGTAGCATAGCGCAGAACGGAAACAGATTTTTCCCGGGCGAGAAGGATGTCGCGCGAATCGAATCGACTCGAAAACCGCCTCCAAAGTTATGCACATGTTTCCCGGGCACTGGGGGACACTCCGTGACGCGATTCCGCGATTTCGGGACGTCCTCGGAAAAGCAGTGGAAATTAAGCTTCGAGAAGCCCGCTTGCTTCTCGGGATCCTCTCCGGCCGGAGCAGGAAGGAGAGGGATTCCCGCAAGCATGAGAGAGCGTCCGGTGTCCTCGCTCCCTCAGCAACGGCAGTCGATGCCGCTCTGCGTGAAGATTATTATGATTATTATCCGCTAACCGGATACTTGCGACGGCTACTCTGCGAGCGACATTCCGAGCGTTGGGAAATCGTAGTCAGAGATGACAGGTGAGAGATGATTGAGAAATGAGGGACAAACGGGGGGAAACTGAATAAGTTCATGAGTCACAGATAATCATTCGGTCTGGAGAGATGTGTTATTGGATCGCCTCGCAATAAAATCAATGATCCCGATCCATACCTTCGTCTTATCTCGATAGTCGCACGAACTCCTGTTCGCACGTCAAGCGCGGTGATGAACGAGCTCTCCCGCCTCGTCAGAGAAGTTCCCCCGTTTTTCAGAACAGAGAAGGCCTTCGATTGACCTGCTCGATACGACTGGCCGGTTGTTTCTGTTCAAGACTCTTGTCCCTTATCGTGCATCATTCCAATGGGCCTAGGAGGTGATCCGTATTGGTCAGATGCAGGGATGCCTGTATCGAATCATCTTATTCTCTCCGACTGACTGACTAGTCTGGCTCCTTCGCGTGTATCCACTCTGGCTCTGGGGGTGTCCTCGGTCCTTCCCGAAACTTCCCGAGTCATTCTGAAATGGCGGATACGCAAACGGCCTAGAATACATAGAAGAGGCGGGCGCCATAGATCCCAGATTCCCGGATCCCTCAACATTTCCTCCTTCCTGGGGAGGAAATTCGCTCATGGGGAATGCGTCAGATATTGAGCCACCCTGGATTCATTCCTTACTGAGACGCTCGCGTTCGTGCTGGCCGAATGCGTAGGCGGCTGATGTGAGTACGATTCCGAGATACAGGACAGCCTCGATCATCTCGGATGACGCCTGCCAGCCACTGTGGATATAGGTGCCTAATCGAGTGTTGACAAAAACGAGGCTCAATCGGAATAAGTCGGAATCTCGATCATATCGAGCACATTTCACTTCAGTCAGCTGAAATAGCCGAGACGAGCTCTCAGGAAGCTGATACGATCGAGACTCCACTGCATTCAGGACTTGCCGCGAAGTTTATACGGATTCTCGACTCAGATGAATACCGTCCTCCCTTCCTAAACGTCAAAATTTCATTACCAGGCCCTTTGACTCGTTCCTCGTCAGGAATGTCTACGGTGACATTGAAGAGTTCGCTCAGTTCCCTCGGGCAATGCACCCGCGGGGAAATCAAGCCTAACGTGAATTACGTTCAACTTCAGAATGGTTCGTGGCATGCGCAGGCTTGGCCCGGTATCGAATGAGACGACTCCACTCAATCCAGGGGAGGTCGGCCCCAGTCTGAATGAAACTCGAAGCTTCCCAAGCGTGATTACCGACGGTTCGCAGCAGAGGCTCTCTCAGACCAGAACGAGTTTGCGTCCGAAGCCACTGAGTTGAACTCTGACCCCCCTTCGGAAATCGGCGGAGATTTCCTGTTTCGTCGCCGGGGAGTCCGAGCGGTGATAAGCTGAAGGTCCGGAGCGCTCCCCCGAGCTGAGATCGGGGATCTGAGCCTCTCCCCTTCGCTTTTGGAGCAGCAACTAATTTCAATCCCGGAAACTGCTGTAGCCGGAGGGAGTCGTCGGTGACGAAGAACGAAATGCGAGCGACTCGCTCGCCCGCCGGTCTGTCTACCGCTCGGCTCCAGGCGACGCATTGAGCACACGGAGTCAGCATGGCTGAATTTGACGTGGGAGACTAAAAGGCCGCCGCCACCATCGTCATCGTCCCGCAAGCGGCATCAGCTGCGCGAATGACGTCTATAAATAACCAGACGTTTCCCGACTCACTCGATTCTAACTTCGAGCTCGGGGCGGGGGAAACAAAGCTCAAAGTTGAGTCGTTTGTCGCCGTCATCGTTGTTCACCAGCTTCTGCTGTCGCCGCTGGGCATGTATCCCCTCGGAAGGACAAATACGGGCCCTTTTTCCCCCGTCTTGTGACCGCTCCCCATATGATCGAGCTCCACGACCTCGATGATGGCTTGGATGTGCGGTCTGGCCGAGAGATACCTAATCACGGAGGGTTCGAGTCTCTGAACCTTATTCACGCTCGATATTTTCCATAACTTTCAAAATGATGTCAACAAGGATTAAACATGGGACGCTCGCGCGCTCACATTCAGGTTTGAAGTTCGAGTGATACGAGTGAACCCGGAATATCGAGCCCCCCCCCATGAGATGTCATTGATGCACTGATGCACATACAGAATGCATCCATTCAAGACCGAACGGGCATGTCCTCAATCCGCTCAGAATGAGCAGAGTCGTTTGATTGGTTCATACCAATCGTACGTATATTCTCCCAGCCGCTTTCCCCCCTGGGCTGGGACACGGGCCCCCTTAGGTCTTCGAGCGACCGAGCTTGAACGTCCCGTAAATTGACGAGAAGATGTTCCCCACTTGAGAGGGCTCATTTCCGGAGAGCAGCGAGGGCTTTTGTGAGGATACAGACTTGGTAACTAGATTCACTCAAAAGTGAATCTGGATTGTTCTCAATCCGCAGAGACGAGGAACGAACGGGAAAGCTCACAGGAGATGAGCATCGGCTCAGCGATTGCCTCTTCGCGAGTTTCCGCAGATGCCAGGAATTGTGATCACAACCGCGGGCGTTCATCCGAGACGCCGCTTCATCAGGTTCTCGATGGGGATCGTCCCAATCGTCACCTCCACTTACTTGTTGTTTCTATGGATGTATATCGGTCGTATCGGGGACAGTCTGCGGCTGTAATAGAATCGAGCGAAAAAAAACGAGTCTCCGAGCCTTGCTAATATCCCGCGGGCGTTTCGTAATCAGTGATGCCCATGTAATGAATACACATCGCACAAGGAACTATCGACGATTAAACCAGACAAGTGTTTGTTTGCATAAAACAAATGCTGTATAGCAGTGGTGGCGATTGGCATTCTTTCGTGCGTCAAGTCTTCGGTTGACAATCCTGATTTGTCGAAACTCCGTGACGTTCTTCGCTGGGAGTTCAGATCGGCTGACATCCTGGAATGGAATTCTATGAAAGACTACTCGGGAAATGAGTGGATTCTCCGCTCCGCGCGGCTTGGAACATGCGTTCGGAAGATAAGCGAGAAGATCAAGACGGTGCCAGCGCAAGACTGGGTGAATGAAATGGCTGGGAAAACTTCGCTGGATGTATACCGCTCATGCACAGGGTGGAAAACGATCTCTCACGTCTACGACAACAGTCGCGGCCCGGCGCTATTAGCTCTGACTTTCCGAATTTCGTAACAATCTATTATAATTTGAAGTCTCTACCGGCCGACCGTTCGAGGAGACCAAGGCAGCATCCGTTTTGCAGAAAGGCTCAGCGAACGAGCTGACGACGGCAGTCGGGAATGATCACGCTTAGCCACATCATCCTTGGGCAACTGACAACGAGAATACCGATTGTCTCGATCAGAGGAATGGGAAAAAACTAGTTACGTGGGAGTCATTCCGAACTCAATTCTATCACCCAATGAATCGGAATAGGATCTTGTCGTCACGAAGACGATTCCAGAGAGACCAGCCATCACCCCCTGGAAAAGTATCGGTTGGGCGCAAGTGGATCCGCGGTTCCGAGGGATGTTGGCGAGCGTCGGCGCGAGGAATTCTCATCCGTACGAGTCCTGTTTCTGGGCTCGAGCTACTGTTGAGAACTCCGATTCCATATCGAGAAAGCGATCGAGGGCGCCTGAGCCTATAATTTTCCGGGGGGAATCGCATCGTCACCTTCATAAACCTATTCCAGACAGGCTGCCTGTTTCTCGTCACTTGTGTTTCGAGTTTTATTTAGAACTATCGGTGAACATGATATGCGTCCAGGATCGATTGCACAGATTCCGCACCTGCGCCTCGAGGCGCCGTATAGAAACATTTGGCACCGTGAACTTGCCAAGACGCTTTTTGTTAAAGCTACGTTTCGGGATCGTCAGAATCTCGCGCGATTTATCGTTGATTGATTCCATGCTAGGCCGGATGATCGGCCGTGACGTCAACTTTATTTTATGAAATTTCTAAAATCGCTCTTTAATTGTATAGTGGGTTGCTTCGAGGTGATGACGGGCTCCGGAGCATTATTGCGAGCCTGTGCCAGCATCTGCCGCGACTTGATGATTTTCTCGAGCTGAATTTTCAGAGCTGGACTCTCGGCGAGGATTTTCTTGAGATCTCCGCTGTGCTGAGATAACTTATTCGTGAGAATTTCGATGACTATTTGATCTGAGAGAGTTTTCTTCATCGCGAGGCTCAGTAACATGGTGACGATTATTTTGAGGACCGGCAAGCGGTGCTCCTCGGGGGTGATCTCGAGCAGGGTCTGCAGGCAGCTGATGCACTCCATGCAGATATTGGCGTCTTGCGATTCGAGCAGGATCCCGTATACTTTTTCCGACCAGCGTTGGATGAACACGTTGCGTCTCGTGTGGCCGAAGATGTTCCTCACGCAGCTCACGCCGGTTTTCACCACGATTGGATTATCGGAATCCAGTGCACGTTCATACAGATCGAGGATTTTCTCATGTATGCTCGCTACGTTGGTGACGGATGACGGCGCCGTGCAGATGAATATGGCGACCGCCAGGAGGATCGAGGAGGCGCCTTTAGAGCTGTGCGTGAATATCGCGTCGTCGCTACAGCTGACCAGCAGAGAATGCAAGGCCGCCGTCAGGACCTTCACGTAGCGTTCCTGCAGACCACCGTCGGCGTCGTCGTTCTCTTCGAAGCGACTCATCGAGCACAGGAACCTGAGGCTTTGTAGAACCTTGCTGCCCGCACAGCCTTCGAGCAGCAGTCTGAGGTTGATGTGAAGAATCGAAGGGAGAACCTCAATCGCCAGTTCTGGATTGAGGAGACTAGGAACGAGGTTTGCGAGAGCCACTGCGTTCTCGAGGTCCGAGACATCCGAGCTGGAGCCGGGGTCGAGCTTCGGAACGACACGTGCCAATTTCTCGCTCAGGCTGGGACAGTGAATCACAGCGGTGCATAAACTGAGATTCAATAGACTATAGGCTGGACTAGAGTTGTCTTCGTTCGGATTGCGATTCAATTTGAGAGCAACTTTGTGAGCGATGTCGAGTACGACGTCGCGACAGACCGTCTGGCTTTCGGTGATCAACGTCCGGTGTAGAATACTGATCAGCTCGACGAAACTGTCACGCTCGATGTACAGATCCGAGTACTCGTGACTCACCAAGAGATCGAGACTACTCAGAGCGAACATTGTGTGCTCACTGCGATTGTACAACGCCTCGGAGCAGATCGCGTACAGAAGACAGAACCAACGTTTCCCGGTCGCTTCGTGAGACTTCGGCAGCGAGAAGCTCTGAGGCAACTGGGCGTTGCCTTCTTCGGTGCAGTCCCGAACAATATCGAAACCGTTCTCTTTGCAGAGCCATAGCGTGACAGCATGTAGGACCGGCGGCCACGAATCCTTGTAGTATAATTTACAGTGTTCCGCGACTTCGTGAGTGAAGAAAGCGCCCCCGTCATGCGGGAGTTGACTCGCTAAAGAGCTTGGAAGACCCAACATGGCGTAGTCCTTCATGAAGGCGAGCCAATACTGTGATAAATGATGAATGTCGGCCTCGATCAGCGTTAATAGGTTCGGGTTGATCGTGATGCCTCTAATATAAACTTCTGCCCAGGCTTTGAGCACCGAGATGATTTCTAGTGAACTGATCTCGCCCTTGGCCGACGGTTGCGCCATAACTTTGTGGAGCGAGTTTGCCAACAATGTGTGAACCCTCTGGACGGCAAGGAGGTTGTCGGAGACCGCTGAGCATATCCATGTAGAACAAACATGGCACGCCAGAGCGATCACCTCGGACGGAGTGTCTCCGGCCGAGAAAGCTGGACGCAGAGCTGCATCCACCTGTGCTTGGAATTGTTCTAGGATCATGTGACCTTCGAACTCTGGTTCAGGTACGTCAGCGAATCGGTCGATAATCATCTGAAGGAGCTTGAGACCTGACACTGTGAGCTGAACGGAGTCGGACGTGCAAGCCATGAACGCCATTCGGATGAGCTCGGACAAATGGAGAATCAAAAACGACTTCTGCTTTTGTCCGACCGAAGCTGTTTGAGCTTGCCGCGCCTGAAATACGGAAAGCTGACTGAATACGAAGCCTTCGGCCATCCGATTCATGGGGAATACCCCGGAGATTTTGACGGAAGCCAGAAATGGCTCCGCGACCGTAGAGAGAGAGAGAACACTAACCATGACCACGTCGAAGTGGGTTCGGTCCTCATCACAGAGCTGGACGAGGCGGATTACGCACTCCAGGGCGAAGGCTTTCGTTCGCCACCGAGGACCAACCCAGGGATGGGTTTCGGGCTCCTGGGTGTGCTGGAACTGTTGTTCAGCGTCTTCGGACTCACCATCGTCGTTTCCCGCTAGCAATTTGTCTTCTTCGTCACCGCTGAAATCCGTAGAATATCTTTGTCAGAAGAGGGGGACAATCGCAGCGAATCTGGTCAGAAGCCCGAAGACCGACGAAGTATACCAAAGGAAATGGTAGGGGAATTGAACCCGAAATTACTTACTCTGTCGACGTGTCAGCGAGAACCTGTTTGCAAATGGACAGCCAATCCGAGAGACAGGATAATGACAAGAGCGAAATCAGAATGTCTTTCAGCTGGGATAGGGCGCGCTTTTCAGTCTCCACGTCCATGACGCTGAATATGACCAGAATCAGACCACGTTCCCACGGCAGTCCTCGTGCATCGTCATCTCCCTGAATGACGGGGAGGAATCGGCGAAGAGGGAAGGATCGGGAGAATTGAGAACGATTCAGATACTACGATACGGACAATGCGCTCCCCCTCCGGGTAGCTCAAAAAGCGGTCAAAGCTGACGACAGGTCTCGGTCGAATGAGGTCTTGCACCTACCTGGCCGATAACATTCGCATCCTGTAAAGGAGGATTCTCAGCGATGTGGTAGAATATTTCCATAGGATCCCTCTGCAAGAACTGTCGCAAACAGGCAATCGCAGCGTGACGAAGAGTGACATGCTCGCTTTCGAGTGAACTCTGTAACAGGATCCGGTCTCAGTTCTGAGTTCCGATGAAGTTCAAATCAGAAGAATTCCGGCACCTTCAATCTCCTTGCCCAAACTTACACATAAAAACGACAAAATCGGAGCAATATTTATATCTTTCGGGGCAAACAACTGCAGCTGTTGTAAGGCCCCGAGGGCACCGGATTTCACAACAGGGTCTGAATGATTTTGCAGCATCCGGCAGCCGATTCTGAGGTTCCTCGTTGAGCTTGGCAGCACTTGAAGTTCAGGACCGAGCGTGCCTGAGGGAGGAGAGCGGAAATCAGCTGATGCATCGGGAGGAACGATTTGACAATGAGGTACTCAAAATCGCTTGATGAATAATTTATGAAATTGAGGAGGACTTCCTCACGTTGATCAAACTCTCACTCACCTATGAAGGTTTGGAGACAGCGCCCGAGGTTCTGGTGGACTTCGATATTGGCACGGGGAGCGCTGAGCATGGTCTGGAGGACAACCGAGAGCGCTACATCGACATGAGGTCTGAATGAGCTACCGGAGTACGCGAGCGAATTTAGGCCGAAAAGAGCTCCGGACTGTGACAGGGGGGACGTGTTGTCCTGAGCCATGGAGAGTAAAATTTTCAAGCTAGCAGCGAAATGCTGCGAATCCGACATGTAACCAGCAGTGTATCGATGGAGATACCCCAGAGCAAGAGTGTGCCCGCTCTTGACAATCGGATCGTTGACAGTGTCCAGCACGTCCATCACCTTGCTCCACGTATCGTTGACCAACTGACGACTACTCGCCGCCACGGCTGTGTATCCGATGACCTCCGCGGCCGCGTGGCGGACCAGCTCGCTGTGACTGCTGAGTGCCGCTAGACTGAAGTCGACGACACTCCGAGCCACGTCGATGTTCGAGAGGTTCGCCTGGCTCTTCACGAGCGACTTGATCGAAACGAAAAGACTGGACAAAACATTCGTGTAGATCGAGTCCGCCCGCTTCGAGTTGTGTCTTATACAGTCAGTAAAGTGCACGACCACCTGCTGACGGTGTTTGTCTTGAACGTGCGGGAACACGTAGCCGAACAGGTCGACGGCGGCGTCGATGAGGCTCACGCCCAGAGGTAGGGGTTTCGTCCGAAGGTTGTGGTCGCATTTGCGATAGAGGTCGGTGAGGTCGTGCTCCAGGGCGCCGTCCGCGTAAAGAGCTTCCTCGATCATTTTGTGTTCTTCTTTCACGTAAAATTTGTTCGTCATGTATTTGATGTGCAGGCGGGACGTGGTTGTAGTCGATTGCGAATGATCCGCTAGCGTTATGTCGGTGACGAGGAGCTTCAGGAGCATGTTGTAGCTAGCCTCGTACATCACCGCGGGAATTTGGAGCAGCACCTGATACAGACGGAAGCGGACCATGGCGGCCGCCGCTTTCAACTGCTGACCGTATTGCTTTATGACATCGGCTAGATTTGAAACCATGAAAAGTGCGCTTTCGATCGGTGAGAGAAGCCTCCGTTGGATGTCTTCGTTGGCGATCTCTCGGCAGTGACTTAGGAAGCCCGACATCGCGGCCAGAGCTCCCGCCCGGTTTTCCAGAACGCATTCCCAGGTCATCGAGTCGCCTCGACTTTTCTCCATAGCGAAATCCTTGTGGGTTCGGGGGAAAGAACTCTTCCATAGGAGCAGCAGACGCGGTAGCAGACTGCGCACCGTGGACGGCCCCAGTCCCATGATCGATCCCATGATGAGCCAACCTGAAGGGGAAACAATCGGATGGTACTCTCGGGAAAAATGCCGGGATGGGCCATGGGTCATATGAACTTCTAGAAGTCAGCTGTCAAGTGGAGCTGGCACGCGACTGACCTTTTTGAGCTCTCAATAAAGCAATGCTCGGATCATCCTTCGCACTGCGGAGCATCTCTTCGGATATGGAAAACATCAATTTGTACTTCCGTAGGTTGGTCAGCTGCGATAGAGTAACGTCACTCGAGCTGAGCATTGCAGCGATGGCGCATGAATATCCAGAAATGCAGGGGGCTGACGATTTCATAACTTCAAATTGATCGATGCAACGCTGCATAATGGGCGATAAAAGCGCGGGTTGAGCTTGGGTGATCCACCTAGGGGCAGCAGGGAAACGTTAGTTCTCGCCCCTCTGTTCGACTCCGGATGTCCCGAAGATCGGGCTCCGAGGACTTCATTCATGATTCTGCTTTGATTCTCGCCATTTCTCGGATCGCTGGGACGTCTTTGAACGAAACTCACCTGAGCAGATACGCCGCGTAAATCCTCACGGTAGCGTTCGAATTTGTAAGAGCGCTGAACGTGATCTCAACTAATCCAACAGAGCTGTCTTGAACCACCGAATTGACGGTAGACTCCAGATTTACAACAATCATTGAAACAACTTCGAAAATGCAGATCAACGAATTGGGTCCACTTTTCTGATTGAGCTGCTTGAGAAGAATGTGTCCAAGCTCACGGCAGGCTGATCGTTGAGCTTTATCGCTCAGCAAACTGCAGAAAACGGATCTCAGAATGAACAGAACACAACTTCGGCTGAATACCCCGTCGAGATGCGATTGAGCCGTTTTCGGATTCGCGACAGTTTCGATGAGATGCGTCACGATGTGCTTGAAGTGTCGTTCGACGAAAAGTCCGCCCATTTTGTCCAAGAAATAGACATACGCCTAAGGAGAACGAGGGGAAGAAGGTAATCCAAAGATTCACTTCAAAAATACTCAAAGAATTCGGTAGGCGGTTATTTTCACTTTCAGAGGCTCGTCAGCCCATTATAGAGTTTCGATTTTCGACCTACATGTGCGATACCGGCACGCGTCTCCCGGATACCGGCCTTGACTCCTTCGGTACCCTTGAAGAGACCTCCTAGATTTCCTCGGATGAAAGCTGTCGAAAGGAGTTGTAGACATTCTTCCAGGGTTTTTTGCTTTGCTGCAAGCAGAGAGCGAAAAATTCAGCGATGCTTCTCCCGAACGTGTGGCTGAGGAGCTATCGCTCACCGGGACCAATTACGATCAGGGGATATGCGAGGTAAGAACCTTTTACTGCGTTGCTGAAAACCGTTGCCAGGAGATGAGAGACGGCCAGACGCGTCCGATAATCTGCTCCTTCTAGCGCGCGTATCGACAAGGTGAGCAGAACGTCGAGTTCCAGGCTGGGGATTTGCGACAACGTGCTTGAGGCGGTTTCCCGGATAGCGAGAGTCCTCTCCGCTAGACAAGCCTTCATACTCTGGAAAGGAATCGCGGAGCTCATGAGAATTCTCTCCCAAGGTAATCGCCATTGCCCGAATTTTCGGAGCAAGAGCCCGAAGGGTATCCAGGGATCGGCTGGGGCTCCTGGCAAGATGACCAGATCCGGATTCAAACTGACGCAATATGCTCAATTTCCCATCCTCGATAAGCTCTCCGTCTGCCTGGGACTTCCTTTCACTTCAACGGTCTGCGGAATTCTGAACGTCCTCATGACGGCCCTAGGACCACATATTCGGAGCGTATACCTCGTCACGCGCATGCGAGGAGAATGATAGAGCGTGTGTGTGTGGCCAAATTACTGACTGATGGTGAGGCACATGGATTAGGCTGACGTATGAGCATCTTGCAATCGAGTTTCTCGCAGCGTCTCGGATCCGTCGAGAAAAGCACTTCTGCCCGCGCCGAAGCGACGAGGAGGTCTAGGACAGTTCTCTGTCCTGACGGAGCGGTCTCTGGAATCGAGATGAACCAAACGACTTCCGTGCGGCGACGATACGCATAGAAATTTAAATATGTCGAGCGACCGACCGACGGCAATTCTGTAGCAGTCGTTGCTGCTGCCGGCGTCGCCGCCGCGCCGCCACAAATGCCGTTGTCATCTCTCCCACCCTCGCTCCACCATTCGCTGGTCTCCTAGGACGACGCCGTGCCGATCTACTACTCGATCCACTCTCAGTAGTCGCTCGGCTTGCTGGCTTACTCACAAACAGGTCAGGAGGAGCCTGTACGAGCCGGAACAAGCGGCGACGATAATATCAATCTCTGGAGATTGTCGGCCGTTTCGTAAACTTTTAGCGCAGCCTTATTCTTCGGGCAGCTCAAGTTAGGAGGAACGTGAACGGTGTCGATCGAGTTCCATGCGTACGTCTGTTGGTCCAGGATGAAAGTGGCCCCCGTGCACGGCCATGCCATCGACGAAGAACTTGACACTCTTCGACTACCGTCAACGTCGACGACGAACTCGACCACACTCGTTAAAGATAATAGAACCGACTTCAAAGTCGTCTATGTGAACGGTTGCGACGACGTGACTATGACAGGCGATCAAAATGGCCAGGGTAAGTTGTAAAGCCAAAACCGTAAAGAGACCATCGCAGGGATACTCTCAGCGAGAACATTCGTTTATTTTCTGCTGCCCTTCCGAGCTGAAGCATTCCTGTTCCTCGAGCCCGAGGATTCTACGCTAGCAGAATAGAGCTCAGATATTTTGGAATGTCTTTGGTGGATCAAGTTCCTGTAATGGTTTCAGACAAGAATAACGCCGTCGCTACGATCTTTGGAGCAGTTCTACTGTTCATGAGTGCGGTCTTTGCGAAAATATTCCACGGCTTGAACCGCTGCCGTCCTGTGAGACCCGCACCACCCGATCGCAACGAGGAGACATCGCTCAGTGCCGTCGAAGTCGAACGTATCGAAGACGAATTACGGAAAACGCCGAAGAAACCCCAGAAAGCGAACGCACCAGTATATTGAGGGAATCGAGAAGGAATCTGGGAATCAGACGGAGCTGACCAGAGGCGGGACTCCCAGAAGAGGTTTTTCGGAAGAGGGTCGACTCGAAAAGTAGTGCAAGGCCATTCATCGCCACCAGATCTTTCGCCATTTGTATCGAGATCAGTATCAGCGTCAGAAACAAGGAGCATAGCAGCAAAGAGGAGAACGTCCGGCGGATCGGAGGACCTGCTCCGAGTGTTTGTCGTGATGACCGAAGGATTTTAGCATTGCCGAAGTGAAATGAGTTGTACATAAGGTCCATGCCTGTATCCGAGCCATGGTTATAGATTAGCGAATTTTTGACGAAAGGGGAGACGAATAAACGACGACTCCGATGATGCGAGCCCTCTCCATTCGCTCCCTCTGAACCCTTGTTAATTGTACGGGAACCCGGGCGGAGGCTCGCGTACGGCGGATAATTCCTACCGTCGGTGATTTCATCAGATCGCCTACCCCGACAGGTGTAATCGTTCGCCGTCCCACGACTCCCGTGTAAACAGCTTTAGCTCGAAAATTCAATTAGACCCGTAGCCTTTGAAAGGTGCGGTTGGAAGTATCAACGTTCTGTGCGCTGCCATGTCCCAGTCAGTCAGTCGCCGGCTCTCCAGTCAGAACCGCCGCCTGATGCGACCTACCCACAGATCGGCAGCTGTTCCGAAGACAGCGTGATGAGCGGTGCGGCGCAGACGAGCTTCTAGATATATATTTGTATAAATATCGGCACAAAAATAAACACAAACAAATTCGTTCTTCTCGGAACAGGTATCGATGCCGCCGCGGGACCCGGCAGAGTAGGGCCGTTCTCGACGCAGACGTTCGCGCGCGGTGGGAGCTGATGCATTCGAGACCAATTCCCAGGCAATAGAGGGAACTGAGCACGCCGCCGATGCTCTGCCAGGGCGGCGATAAAATTTCATCATTGTTGAGAATCAGAACACATGCTCCTACGGAAACCAATCGGGTTTCGATCTCGGTTGTCGATTCAGGTAAAGACTGTAGAATCGCGGAATGTCAGGGAGCAAATCGTCGGACAACGCGCCGATTCCCGGCAGGCATTCCCCCCTGGGAATCGGGAGGACAAATGGTTCCGAGAATGAACAAGGTCGGAGTCGTCTTCGATATGGGACACATTTTCCAGGGGATAAGCGGACGGGGTTCGCTGCTTTAGGGCCTTGCCCACGTTCACTTCACGCATACTGTCGAGCGAAGTGCGTGATCCACGGCGCGAAGGTTTCTCTAGCGAGGGGTCTCCGGGGCCTTTTCGTATCTGTCGACACAGAGGAGTGATACGAGATACTCCAGCCGTCGTAAAGCTGGTGAAGAGTTCTCGGGAAGGCGCGTCATGACCTTGAGTAAATGTTCTGGATCCCTTTTGGAGATTTTCCATCGCTTGGAGACAATCCGTCATGTTGTCTCCACCGATTAATCTTCCCGGGTGAATTCGATTGCTCGCTCATCGAGGAGGAGCGGAGATGCATCCGTATCCGGGACTCTGTTCCGCAAAATAGTAGACCTTCGCCGATGAAGTATCTCTGACTTGTGTTTCGGAGTTTCCAAATTCTATGGAGGAAGACGACCGGCGGTTGGAACAGTTTCGCAGCTCTGATCGGCTCGCATCGACAAGACCTCGCAATTCGGGGGCGTCTGACGCTCGCAATAATTTGGACGAAATGTATTCGGGGATACCCAGGGCTTCATTCCTCTCCACATCTTACCTTCCGAAAATCTGTCTCGGGTCGGGAACCACTTCAAGCTCCACTCACTACACGAAGGCTGATGTTCATCCGGGGTTCTACCTAGTGCGGTGAATCAAACCCTCTTCTGTGATACGAAGAGTTTGAATCGCACAGATTTCGTGATTATAATGCCCGGAAGCCTTCCCCCTCCTCCGCCAAGAGACCTGATTCCACCAACGCACAACCTGAAGAGCTGCGCGCATCAAGAAGAGGGGCGCTCTGCGTCCAGGAGCCAATTACATATGGTCACGAGATCATGCACGAGATCGGAAATCCGACGAGTTATGGGAGAAGCTCCACGAGTGATTCGCCTCTTTTTTTCGGTTCCTCTCGATGTTCTCTAATCACTGGAGTTCCGACATTCAAGAAAAATCGAGGATCCGAGGATTCTGAGCGATACTCGGACTCCAGAAGACTTTTTCTGGCAAACGTATGGGATGCGAGATTACGCTCACCTTTGAAATATCTCGGTGATACTGCGTTGCAGCATTTCCTACGCCGAACAGAATTTTGTACAGACAAGTCATGATTTCGAGCCTTGTCTGTAGATCTCCGCTCTTGTGAAGTTTCAGAAGAATTTGAACTGTTTCTTCATAGCTGCGGCCCATCATTCGACCTGAAACACAGCGGACACCTGCATCAGAACTTATTCGACCTTCGAGACGTTTGGGATTTCCCTTCGAAGAGTGAGAGTCGGCCTCCCCCGGAATCGGGAATATGTATGCGACTTTCTTCATCTTCGATAAGAGCGGGTCCATCTCACTCACCGAGTCTCTCATACATGCAACCCAGCGCGGTGATGGCGCTCAACCGACTGCCTTTAGCTTCATGTTTCAACAGATCGTTACATTTGTTGACGCATTCGAAGAGCAGAAAGGTATCGCCTTTAGCAAACAGAGTCGCTAAGCAGCCTCCGATCAGCTGTCGGATCGGAGGTCCCGAAGAAGATGACAGCAGACTTAACAGCTGATCGACGAGGGGCTTCTGTTGGCTCTTGATGGTCATCTGCAGGGAGGAAAGAATCATTTTAAGGAAAAGATGCCGGAGATCATCTTTGACTGAGTCTAATTAATACCGATTAAAGTTTCTCGGAATCGCATCGAAACATCAGTGACCCAGGTGTAAACAATAAAGCTCGGAGCTGACGCCATGAAGGATATCTCGCCATAGGAAAGAAATCGCCCACTCTCATGGGGCCCCGTGATTCAGAAGATTCTTCAAGAATGCGCGATCCGGGCAATTGCCCAGCGCAGAAATCGGGACTTGTTGGATTTTTCTGCCGATCGAATCCTCCGGGAACGGGAGAGCTCCCCGACGGGGAAAAGAAGTCCATACAAAAAGTATTCGATAGGATCTAGCGATTGCTGCGAAGAATTTCCATCTCTATCCGAGAGCCGTGAGCAATGCAAATTACGTCACGGCCAGTATTTCTATTGAACTGTCACAATGGTGGCCACACAGGAAACCGAGACGGCGCGGCGGACAAAGCGCACACGGAAACTGGCATTCAAGGCGAGTATTCGACGGCGACAACTTTCCCCACAGTCTTCGTCATGATCGATCCCTCGAGACCCTTGATGGGGAAACAAAATAAAAAAGCTGCTCATCATTGTTGAGCCCTCGAGGAGCAACTCGCAGAGTGGGCGACGATTCTCGGAAAACACACCTTGTCAGCAGAGTGAAGATTTTTCTGCACTAAGCAGAGCCACTCGTAGATGAAGAGCCTTTTCTCGGCCTCATTCAGGCGAGCCAATCTTGCCTCATCGAGTTTGAACTCCATGTTGCGACGCACCAGAATCAAGGAAGTTATCTTCTCATTGCGCTCGGCATCGGAGTTTCTTCCCTCGAACGCTTTTGCGAACACACAGTCTCACCATCAATGAATGAATGGGCAATGGGGCAGAGAACACATGTGTTATTGTTGTCAGCTGGTCGCTGCCGCCGCCGCGGAAGCCAGATATCTGTCGTCTGCTCCCGGTCTTCCTCGCTCAGAATCCAGCGCGGGAAGGGTATGTGTAGTTTCGAGTGTCTTAGGTGACACCAAACACTGCCCTCTCGTGTATCTTCTTCTCTTCTCAATACAAACGAGCGCAAAACTGTGCACCTTCTCCAGCCACAAGGAGAGGAGACGGGAATGGTAGGGGAGAGGGATGTAGGAAGTTGTGGGGAAAGCTCGGGGATCGCAGATGAAGAAGGAGGAGGCAGGAGGCAACCGGGAAAAGATGAACAGAACGGGAGCAAGGCATCAGAGCCGGAGAACAATGTGGAAAAGCATAGGAGCACATCTTTCATTATCGATCCATCGACTACAAGCTGCATTAAGCACAGCCGCAGCCGAGCGCGGCGCGGAACGCTCCCTCGAGTTCGCACAGAGACACCGTCTCATATTCATGCAGCACGAACTACGAGGCTGCGATCATGATGATGTTGACGTAGATTCATTCTAGTCTTCAGTAAGGAGAAACGAATGATTGTTCTGACTGATTGTAAGTTCAGACCGTGAGAATTCAGCTTGGTGACTTGAACTCGCTGAGCCGGTATCGGTGATCTTCTCCACAGAGCGCCCTAGCTGACTGAGCTGGCAATCAAGCCGCCGCAAGAGCTCACGCCCGTACCCCGATACTTCGAGGATGAGTACGTCGGGACGTGACGAGCCGGGACGTGATTCTCGACTGTGATCTTTACTTACCCTTCACTCACACGCGCCTCTCGGGAAAAGAATGTGGTCTGTCTTATATTCGCACGGAGACGATGATGCCTCAATTTGTGAGGCATTTAAGCGCAAAAACCGTCGAATCGACGTCGAGTCTAATGAATCTCTTCAAATCTCTCATACATAGTATCAGATACATTTTCTTCTCACGTCCGAAGTATTCCGATTCGGCGGTAAAACTGGAGGGAGCGCTGGATGGAAGACCGTTGGCCTCATTACTTTCGCTCTCGTCTTCGGATCCGTGAATGATCACGCGCGAGATCGAATTCCGAACGACGGAGAACATCGAACGCGCCACATCGCCGCGGCTCGTTGAAATCCAAACAGCAAGCCTGTAAGGTATCGTTCGGAATCCTCCCCTGCGTGCTCTTTCCGAAAATTGGAACGTTCCCAGCGTGTGATAGCAAGCCTTGGCCTCCGACGACTCCGAGGAGATTCGCATTTTCGACCAACCGACCAAAGCCATGGATTCCTCGACGCCGGGCAGCCCGAGGCCCCCTCAGGAGCAAACTAGTGAGCTCGAAATCATGATCGCGTGTAAGTTCCCGTCTATGAAAACTCTTGCATGTGCCATGATTGGAACAAGCGTCTGCTGGACAATTCCCTCGGAGTTCCGATGCGCTGCCACTACTTGCGTCCCTTCATCTCCAGTGACCCAGAAGGAAAACAACTACTACCGGAGACTCCAAGATAAGTACAAGATTGTCGTCGAACAGTGTAGAACCTGCTGGAAAATTGGAAAGCACCCTACTCAAAAGTGCGTCCACGACAAACCGCTTTGCCCGAGGTGTGGAAGCGACGAAAGTCACGCTCGCGAGGTAGGAGTTTGGCAGAGTAAGCTCCGGAGAGCGTGTCCGTTGGTGGTTCGCAAACGCTGCTACCGATGTTCGTCTCGCATGTGGTGCCGACGCGACGTATCCATGCTCCTTCTTAAGGGATTCCTTCTTGGACTCGATGAGGCTCACAAGTCGTTTTCCTGGTTCGGTGTACCCCGACCCCGTGAAAATTTCCTTCCTCCCTGCGACTTATTGAGCTCAGCATTGTCCATTCCGCAGGCGTGTTTCGTCATGTGTTTTCGCTGTGGAGAGATCGGGTCGGAAGCTTTCCATGAATCATGTCCGCGACGACGAAGCGAAATTGTGAAGCTGGCACTCATGAGGAAGTGAGCACGACCCGAGCTGCTTGAGACATTCAGAGAGAACCGTCCGATATTCTTGGTCTGGAAAATGACGTCATCCACAGAAGTAACACCGGTATTCCATCGCCAGGTACAACTTTGACATGAAAACTGCTCGCGACGTTGCTCGAGGAAAACTCACCCTCGCCGAGGCCCGATAACGATCTACCTAAGAGAAGGTAATCGCGTGTGATCTAATAATTTGTGCTCCGGGTCAGGATATAGAGATAGGCTGATAGCTTCCGGAAAAGCAATATTTGGTTGATGTTCATTATGCTTGAGCAATAAAGCTGCATTGATACAGAGTTCAAGACAACTCATCCTCCAAAAACAGATATCGATCAGTTTATGTACAAAAGTGAATCAGACAGACGAGATTCAGACTCAAACTCTTGAATGGAGCTTTCATTCGTGATGGGAAGACTTGATGCTAATCGCTGGCAACTGGAAGATTCGGCAGTCCCACGGAAGATTTCTGACTCGGACTCGCTCACCCGTTCGAGAGGTATGAGTATGTTCAATAGAGCGGAGTCGCACTAGAGGGCACGGTCGGGATTGAAAACGCGGCAAAGGAAGCGAAACCGCAGCCGACGAACTAGTGTTTGGAGTCCTGAGAGTCTGGGAGACTCGGCTCGGCAAGGACCTCCGATCGCCTCAAGACTCCGGCGCACCATTCGTCAGAATCTGACGACTAAAGCTTAAGCAGTGGGCGTAGCGTCCTGGCTACAGCGTGTGAGCGAATGAATATACAGCGAGGATGGGTGTCGACGGTAGCCTCGATAAGTGCGGCGAGCTATCCTCGATTTCCGTCCATGCCTCTCGATACTCTCCAATTCCCTGAATTCCATATCCTCCTTAATTCTTCAACATATTTCCCCATCTCTATCCAGCTTGCGCCCTCTTCGTCTTGGGTTTCTCGCACCAGGGAGTACGGGTGACATCACAATGCAAGAAGACGTTGAAAACATCCGCTGAAATTCCGTCGATTTGCATCTTGTGATGGGATTGGAGCCTGTACACGACGTTGTGAAGACCGGTGACGCGATCTCGCCTCCGCGACTCCTCTCGTTGATTCCCAAGCCTTGCCATGTCCCGAGGTCTGCGCCGGGCATCGTGCATATGCCTGCAAGGTAGCGTCTGTCATTATCGAACACCTCATGAAACTGAAACTGATGAGTCTTTCGAGTGTCTTTTCCTGAGACTGTCGAGCCTCAGGAATGGAACCTCATCCTGGATGCACCACGTACTTGAAGGTGTTGTTGATGCCGGTTCCTATGTCGACTGCGGGTCGCTCCAAGGTGAATTCGGCTTCCTTGATGCGTACATAGAACTCATCATCTTCGAGACCCCATCCGAAGTATTTATTCGAGAGTCCATCCAATCGCGCGAAGGTTTCGTGCCGCATCATGAGGATTCCTCCCACAAACGTCGCGTAGTGGTATTTGGGATGGAGATGGGGCGCCGCCAAATGGTGAATCACTTCCTCTGAAAGCGTCGCACTATTAAGAACCGCCGAAAACTTAGCATGCGAATCGGGGACTCTAATTCACGATTTTTTTTCGTCCATAGACTTCCGAAATCCGGGGAGTGAGGGCAGTACTCACCTTGCTGAGGATAGCGGTAGCTGAGTTTACTATTCATCGGCAGGAGATCAACGTCATGCATCACGAGATAATCACACTGTGCTTTGCTGACATGGTAGCCAATATTTATCAAGGCACCTCGATTGAATCGATAAGTGTCTCCTTGGTTCACTACTATGATCCTATATGCGACGCCTTGAGCCTTCAGGAATCTCCCAATGTGCGGCACAAACTCAATGAGTTCCTCAAACCGATCTCGGAACGGTACGATGACGGCAAGGCGATGCGTGTACGGATGCTCCAGAATTCCAAAGCTCAGGAAGCAAACGAGGAAGAGAGTGCACAGCACACAGAGGACTATCCCGGCGAAGAACAGCTGACGAACTTTACGTGGGGCGAAACCCATCTCCAGGTCTTTGACGGCCTTCCTGATCCGTTTCCAAACATAAACATTCACATGACCCTTCATCACGTAGTTCGATCAGAGAACAGCTGGTATGTTCTGAATCGAAGGGCTAGGCGAGGCATCCGCTCTGATTCTGATCATCGGAGTAGCGAGAGATTACCGGGAGGTGGTGAGGGAGTCCCTGAATTCGGAATCGTCATGCGGAACTTCTATTCCGACTCCCTTCGGAAGAAAACTCGATCTTCTCTCAGGAACAAAACTCCGGAATCGCAGCATCGTCGGTCAGTAGAGGACTATCGGGAACGATTGCTCATCCGGCACATGGTCATGCATGCGTGCTAGAATGAGATGCGACGGTTTTGCGGGACTGAAGGGAAAACCTTTCCAACGCGGAGGGTCCCGTTACGGCAACCCGGTCCGTTCATGTTCGAAACTTCAGACGGTGGCAGCCTGCTTGGAATGAACGCATTTCTGTTTAGGTTCTTCCCCTTGCCCGAGAATTTTTCTCCATCAGCTGATGCGCGCACGTTGTCTTTACGGAGAAAATTAGACTCCAGTTCTCGCCGAAATAATAATTGTCATCGAAAGAGAAGTCAGGTGAGTCTGATCGGTTTGAATAAACTCTCTGAGGAAGTCAAGGGTTCGAACTATTCCTAGTTCAGGCGAGTGAGCTTTGAACTCCCGCGTTGGGGCTCGACCGGCTCCATACCGAGCATCAGCACTCGGAAAAACACCAGTTGAACCTTCCTGAATCCCCGATGATAGGTATTAGGAGAGCTCCAGGACAGTGCATAAAATGACTGCATTCTCCGGGAGTACGGGAATGGGATTCGGAAAATAACGTTCGTCCGGGACGAAACTTTCAAGATACATAGGTCGGGAGAATGAAATGCTCTCAATTGACCATGAATAGTGGTGCTTTCGGAATCTATTATTATTATTATTCTGACCCATCTGCGGAATAAGATCCTAACGAGCTGTGCTCCCCTACAAGAAGAAATCCCCTCGGGACGTTAGCGCGTTCGTGTTCTCACAGAGAATCATACCGCGATCGGCGAATCCGAGCAGAACTCCCCGACAATCGCGCAGTCCTCGCTGTTGTCGTTCGGTTGCCGAAGTGCTAAGTAATTTGAGCTGAGTGAGTAAGATTTTCGGCTTAGGAGCGTAACAATGACAGCTGGGAGCACTCCATAGAGGTGTTTCTTGCCGAGAATATCGGACGAGGATCCCGCCCTCGTGGCACAGTTGGTGGCGCCAGAGTGTCTTGGAACGTCGGATCATCACCGAGTGGCCGAACGGAGGCCGAGATGTGTCTTTACTTTAAAAGAGCCGACCTAGGATCGATCGGCCGTACAAGCAGGCATTCAGTCAGTCAGTCAATTCGCCAGCTAAGCTAGCGGCGAGAACCCACTGATTCAGATGAAATGCCCACATGAGAAAATGGGCTCCCAGAGAGCGTAAAGTCGGGTGAGAAAGCGGGCGAAATTCCTCCCGCCATTCTGGGAGCATCATAAATGAACCCCACAACCGAATTCAAATCGATATCGAAACCATCGCGAAAAGCAGCAGCGACAACAAGAGAAACGTCAAATCGGTTAAATGGATTACCACGAACGCGCCTCGGATCTTTGAATGGGTCGCTATTGATCGGCGATATCGGAAAGACGGGAGATAGCCACTCAAAAACTGAGCTTCTTCGACTTCATGGATCTGACTACTGGCGTATCCAATCCATCGATCACGGGTACGATGGTCAAGATGTCAAAACACACTTTAAAGAGACTGTGAGACGTCGTTATAGGTCTGGGCGGACTTCTGTTTGCTAGGAGAGCAGGGAAATCGGGTGTGGGATCGGAGACACTGCCAGGTAGGTTGCGGCTCGTTCTCGAGCGGGAACCTACTCCCATCAGGGTCGAAAACGATCGATCGAACATTCGGTCTCCTCTGTCGATTCGGGGAAAATGTACCGAGGAAAACGATGCAAAACATTCCTTCGCTTCGATTCATTGATATGCCATTACGTCCTGAAAGTTTCGAGAGAGAGAGGGAGAGGAACTTTGATAAATAGTACCGTCCGGGGGTACCCGACGGCGTCTGGGCTTTTGACGTCGGCGCCGAGATTCGTAGAACGACGAAAGCTTCCTTAGAAGATAGTTGTGAAAATAGCATTCCCTGTCAGCCTGGTGCATGTGTGTCAAAGTGAAGTGTGAGAGATCAGGAGGAAGATTTCTCTTCGATTATAATGAGAGCCGAGGAAAGTTGTTGATCCGCTCCCGAGAAAAAAGGGGACTTTTTGCGTGAGGAATTTCTTGGTCGGGACTCACGGCTACGGTGAGATTGCCGCACACATCCGCGGCCGCTTGAGCTGAGACGAAAATGTCGTGGTCCTCTACGAACTTCGTTCAAGAACGCGCTTGATAGCTGATACTCGACACCTCAGTCAGTTCCAAATCAGGTTTCGATTTGAGCCATACCACGAGCTCGGCGACGACGGAAGCTCGCGGTCGCGCCTTCCACGGTGAGCGGTCAGCGCGAACAACAACACAACGAAAACTCAACGCAGAGCCGATACGATACCAGCCCAGTATGTCAAGAATGAAATGCTAATGATGGTAATAATGAGAGCTTTAATGGAGAAACTGCCGTACACCATGATCGTGGCTCGCCGGGGAACACATGATTCAGATTGCGATGTTCTATCGTACGATTTCCCGAGGCGTGTACGAATTTTTCACTCTGAATACTAATTAGGGCCCATTGGCGACCGGGAAGCCGTTTATCTACCGAGATGTCAAATCCGACAGAGAGGGGGGAAAAAATCAGAGAATCGAAGCCGAGGGACACTCGTGTGGCGTCGTTTAGTAGGAAAGCTCTTTGCGCTCCAGATTGCCAATCAATGCGCATCGGCCCAGGGCGAAGTCACGGGACTCGCTGTGTAAGGATGAATTATCGTCACCTGAAGGTAAAGGAGGGAATGCTTATTTTATCTTCCTCCTTTTCCTTCGCGCTGGCGTTTGATTCATGTTCGGCTGCCGTAATTGAATTACTTATCGAGGAACGGAAGAGTTTCGCTTAATTTCGTCTTTCATTCAGCTCTCACATAGAGCGAGTCTTCTCTTCCTGAAAAGACTCTCGGGCGTGCCTCGGGAGCGTGGAGTCCAGTGCCCCGATTTTCGTCAATCCTATGACTTTCCGTTCTAAGGTCCGGCAGTCTAATGGCAGATCTATAGATGCGCGCGACCCGGCGACCGTTTTCTTTTCCTGCGCGGCGAGGGTTCCGAACGTCGATGCTTCCCTCGTTTTATGAATGACTGTTTTTACGAACGTCCAGCAGGAGATTTCGAGGAGAGGCCGATGGCTGTCATCCCTTTGCCGCTGTCAATTTCGAATAGAGTTCCGAACACCGTTTGTCAAAACTAATTGTTTGCCGTCCAACTTGTTGTGTCCCTCGACCACAACAAAACGACCCCGTTCTTGACATGCAGTCGACGGGGAGTTTTTCGCTTAAAGAACGATTGTGAATTATCCAGCTTTCCTCCGTCTCTGGTAGAAGGATGAGACGCGTTGGCGGCTTGATCTATCGCGGACGGGGTAGAGATCCATGCCAAATGTACGGGACGGAGTGATTACGCGACAAGGGGGCTTCGATTCTCCCGGGTCTCTAGATTATTGCGATTTCCGTGGCGGGAACATGGAAATCTTCTCTCCGGGTAGGAGTGAATTCCCTCGCCCTCGTTTCAAGTCGCGGAACGATTCGGTTCTGCGAATAGATTTAGAACCTCCTCTGCCCCAATTTCACTTCGGGCCTTGAAAGTCAGAAATAACCCTTAAGCAAGGGACTCGGAATGCGGACATCGATGGCTCCGTGAGTCTCTTGATGACGGCTTCTGGGATTTTCTGTCGAAGGGGCCGCCCGGAGGCTCATTAAGAACTCTATGCGCTCAAACCTCGGTCACCACTGAATTAAAATCATACGGTCGGATACGCGTTCATGTGCGGCGCGGCGTACGCTTTAAAAAAACTTGAGCGTAGAGGAGACATAGGTGTGTGAGAAACTAACATCGATCCCCTGAACCTGTCCCTAGAGGTTCTTATGCTCGAAGGTTCGCGTAGAAGGGACCCGACTCCTGAGTTCTCCCCGGAGATCAGATCTCTGGCCCATTCCGACTCCATGGGAGGCCTCGCATCGGAGGAAGTATTGACTGCGGGAGTCTCGCTCGAGGACCATTTTCTCGATCCCGGAACCTTGCAAGACCTAGGCAGTGCGCAGGCGGACGTCCGCGGCGCGCGCCGCCACCATGAAACGTTCGATCTCATCACCCTCGATAATGTCCATCCTTTTTCGACATGGAGTCGCGTTTGGGCGACGTCATCGTTCCACCCGCGTAGTACCCTAAGTGCGGGTCCGACCGCCCCTCTCGGCCCGTATCACGTCAGAACCCTCGCCCTATACTAGGAGACAGTGTTTCGATGGAATCGTTTCGAATGGGGACTTTATTTTGTTATCCTTATCCGTCTGTTGTGAGTTCCGATTGGAGAAATCGACTTAGGGAACTTCCGGCAAAGTCTGAGAGCGGTGCTGTGGACTACGAGCCCTCTTGTTCCGATGCGACGGCGACGCACGCTCACACACCGGTCGGCATCGCGGCAACGACGAACAGAGTTCTGGCGTTGGGTTCGTTCGTCAAGCTCATTCCTGTACCCTCGGGAACCAGAAGTGTGCTCTGTTGACTCATCATGTGCTCTCCACTTGAATGTTTGCACAGACCATTTCCTGCGGACGAAAGGCATTTTCTCAAGCCAATATTCCCTCGGAGGCCTCTTTACCGCCTTCCCTCCGCGGAGAGACTTTGGTAGCGTATTTCCTACCCTTGAGCTGGTAGAGGAAACCTTCGGCGTTTGCCGGGATGTCTCTCGAGTGAGTTCCATTGCCAAGAGCTTCTACGTGAAACCTGTATTTCGTTTCCGGGTACAGGAGTAAGCTTCCCGATGAGCTCTCGAGCTCTGACTGATGGGCCTAGAGGGAACTTATCGAATCAGACATATTTCAAACCCACAAGAAGGGAACAGACGTCATAGTCATTGTGAAGGTCACCTCTATTTGGGGAGAGTCTTTTACCTTCAGGGTATCCATGAGATTTTTTGGTTCATCGATTACGAATGAGGTTTCGTCCTCGAAATAAGCTGCGCAGAGTCTTGAAGCAGGACCGGGGATCCCAGTGGCTCTCTCTTTAGACGACTTGAACTCGTTGATAATGGGAGGCAGTTGGCTTCCGAGATCCGAGACGTAGAACCATCTCTCGAAAAGAACTTCCGGGCTTACACACCGATGCACATAGAATCTGTGAAGGATGATGCCGTCCGTTAGGTTTTCGAGACGGGCCTAAATCCCGGTTTTCCTAAAGCCCAGTCATCACGCGGATGTCCCGGTCTGTTTCCAATGAGTAGATCAAGAGAATAATAATTGATCGATTTTTACCTCAGGCAATCGAATTCCACGTCCTTCACCCTTTGTCTCTCAATGACTAGGCCTATAGTGTTCGCTGGCCTCTGCGGGGAATGAGGGGTCCGCGGAGGCAGTAGGAGAACTTCCCCCTCTCGGATAGGTATGTCGCGGAACTTTCCGCACTCTCGTACTGTTAGCACCATGTCCCCTTTGAGTTGATAGAAGAACTCCTCACCTGGCACAAGAGCGAGGAATTAGAGATCCGCCGTCTTTCTCTCCAAAACATAACGAGTTCTATACCCACTCTCACGCGGAGAAGCGCACAATCACGCACCTATAAGCAGACGGTATCGACCGCACAAACAAGTCTCGTCACAGAAGTTCACGGAGACCTTTCACCCTTCACTTATGAACACAAGAATTAATTGCGAATTCATAAACTTGATTATTCAGCGTAAATTTATGAGCTCAACTGATTACGGGTCAGATGACCTGCCAGTATTCCTGCACTGGAATGCGCCGGCTTGATGCCTAGTCCGGTGCTGCTTTTGGGGCGTCGACAGTTCGTTGCACTAGGCAGATAGCCAAAAAAAATCCGCAGAAATTTATTTGCGTCTTCCATCTGACCCAATCAGCCGGACTAGTCCGCCTCGGATACTGCAGTTCCCCCTTTTTTCGCTCTGGCCATCCCGGAGCGATCTGAGGACTACATTTTTTTTACCGATGTCTAATCGGCGTCGAAAGCAGACCAAGTCCATCCGAATACCTCTTTGGGAGTTCGCCTGCTATTTCGCACGGTAGAAAATCCGCGCAGACGCTGAGGGAACCCGAATTCGAGCTGCGATGAGCCTTCACTGACCTTCCTGTATGTGAAATTCCTCCCTTTCGTTCGGTCCTCCTACGAAGAAGACACTCAAAACTCCATCATTGTGCATGAGTTTGTTGCAAATAGGCGGACTGAAGTATTGCTGGTTGATTTTCAGCCAATCCGTCACGTTGTTCCACGACATCGTGCCAGCCCAGTCTCAGGATGCCGGTAGCGGGGCAAGAATGCTCACTTCGATGGATCGCCGATTCTCTTCACGCGCCGGCAATCCTGCAATGATGCTTGGCAAATAGTTTTACGCCTATGTCTCGGAGGTCGATAGATCCTCCTTGCCGAGTCGGCGGCTTTATAGGCTTATAAAGATAATTTTCGAAAAATTCCGGCTATCTTCTCAGGCCATATCCTGATTGCATATACCGGAGATTGCGCTCTACATCATGCCAAAACAGACCTGTCATGTTCTCTGCTCTGCTCGGTTGCCCGGTCTCGGTGGAGACTGACACAAGAGATCGAGCCGTCGACGGAACTCAGGGCGCCTTTCCGATAATTTTCAATGGAGGAATCGGCTGAAAGCTGAGATTCTCAGCCGCGGATCGATGAAGGATATTTGAGGGGAACGATGGATAGAGAGCCAACGGATCGATCTATTCTGGCAGATCCTTTCGGTGATCCGACGACTTCGGAAGATCTCTTCAATCAAGACCGACAACGGTACGCTGCTTGTTCACACCCATGATGTTTTGGGAATTCGCAGCGGAGAATCCATCTCATGCGCGATGGTGCGTCAGTATCTTCTGCGTTGCGTGATCAGTGCTTGGAGACTTCTTCGAGAAAATAAAATCTTGCAGAAGGAAACCGGAATTAACCCATCCCTTTTCGTCTTCATCACTTGAATTTCAACAAGGGAGACATGAATCAGTTCGGAGCGAAGTCATCCGAGCCGTCACTGAAGGAAGCCGTCAGTGAAGGGCCCGAGATTCGTAAAAAAGAACGTCTTCTTTCTTCTGCTCCATTCTCAATCGGAGCCGTCTTCCCAGATCCCCTATCTCGGACCTCCGGTTCAGACGGAGAATGCGTCAGTCTTCGGAATGTGTCAATCCTTTCATCCCGTTTGTCCCTTTATTCATCCATTCTGTCGCTTCCCCGGTCAATCAAATAATAAAATTCAAGTGGTAATAAAGAACGATGTACGCAAAGATGCGTGCTTCTCGCGACTTGTCGTGATTCGTGGAACGGTGCGTCGTGAGTGAGTGAGTAGTACAATTAATTTCGTCGCCGACCGAAGATTAACGACATCGTATCTTGCCGGGATCGCAGCCACGCAGAAGATTGTTCCAATTGATTCAATGAGCGCTTCACTTTACGGAAATATCCATCGGGAGAGAGAGAGTCGAGCTCTCTGTCGCATTCTATGCATCCACCTCACCGCGAATGAATCGATCCGGACATGGTCACACCGTAAACCCCGTTCAGAGGTGCCGGGAATGGGCGTCTGCTTCGGCTGATTACGATTCTCAGTCTCAGCACTGAGCCATGTCCGCCGAGAAGAAAATCGAACGTTCTGATCATCTCAACGGCTGTGCATATTTTCTGAAAGAGAATAGAAGAGGAAGGCTCTTCCGCGCAGCCAACGAACGATCGAAGTACGTTTCGCATCATTTTTTTTGGTTTCGTCTCCGAATTTTCGTGTATCGAATTTCGCCTCTGCGTGCTCAATTCTTTATAATCATGGCGTGAGTCGCCCCCAGTTAGATATCGATGGAAGAGGAGTAAAAATACGAGAAAAAAAAACATTGAATGCGGCCGCTAGTCTGCTTGTCCGTTGCCTCCCGGCCAAATGGTCGGCTTTGAATGCGAGCCGCTCCGTAATTTACACTTGATAGGGGTATTCTGTAGTCGTCGATTGATACCAAGGTCGTCTTTCCGACCATGTGGGAAACTGTCACTGGAAAACAATATCGCTGCTCGTTCGTTGTTTCATGAGGAACACCTTTTATTCTCTCTCGTTTTTTTCATCGGTCCTTCCGAACCTTGTTCATAACTCTTGAACGGTTGACAACGCAGCTTGGCGCTCAGCTAGAAGAATAAAAGCCATATGTATGAAAGATCCTCCATTTTTGAATTTGCATTGTCGTCGTCGATGGTTCTTTGCGGCCCGGAGGATGACCGTCGACGAATCGAACGAAATTCTGGCCTGTGCTACCGCCTCTCCGAGTCGTCACGTCCCTCGTCGCGACACCATTTCTTCGTTTACGAGGGACCGCGGACTCTCCGCAAACCCGACTTCAGGTCCTTGGCAATCCTCCCGGCGAGAGAATCTTACTCGGACTCTCTACACCGGCCCGCGAATCTTTTCCCCGCTTGGAGTGGGCACCGGAAATGATTTTTCATGTCAAATTGAAACGTCGCAGGGATTTCACGCCCGTCAGCAGCCTCGGTCTTTGATTCACGCCATCGGTCTCCCGGTGTGGTCATCCTCCCGCAGGCGGAGAGGTTTTACACAATGGTGTCGGATTCCGGATGACCGGATCGAATCGAAACGTTCGATTGTTGTTTTTCGCTCCTCATTACGGGCGACCGAATCGAGGACTGGCTGTCGAGCGCCACGACCGGAGTTCTCACTTACGTACGGACGACGAGCAGGTAGACGAACGACTCGTATTAAATTTCGTGAGAATACCTAAACGCCGGTGGCACACATGACAGTCGTAAAGCTAGGAAGATACATTTCTTCTTCTTCTTCGTCTTCGACCACTGCTTTTCCCGTTGCTCCGTCGCCGGAGCCATTCCGAGCGGCTTTCTCTTCTGAATTGCTGTTTTCAGAAAACTGTTCGTCGTTCACACGCTACTGTGAACTTTTACGTCTGAGGAATTCAGTGAGGATACAGTACGATTCCGATCTAGACTCCCATCGTCGGCGTTCTCATCACCGTTATGGGCACGGCTTCTCGCTTCCCTCTGAGCCCCGAGCGCTCTCGGGAGCTCGCGGAATACACATAGAATGCTCACGGTCAGTAGCTGCGCTCGAACTAGCGCAGAGGAACTTCGCGGGCTCGATTGACTATAAAATGATTGGTGTCTGATTCTAATACCATCCATTTTCCTCGTGATCGCAACGGTCAAACGACGCGCGCGCGCAAGTCGCATCGATCCGACTTGACAGCGGCGGCGGTACGACGACGGTGGCGAACCACGAAATCTTTCAACAATAACGACATTGAGTCGCTCCACTGGGTTCAGCTGTGAATTTCAAACTGACGTGAAGATGAGAGCCAACGGGCGCCCGGGTTGCCAACCAATCCGGCTGACGGGTAGTGGCAGAAGAATTTCGTCGTGTCGCATCGATGAAGAGGGGCGGTGGCAGAAAAAGCTAAAAATGTAACAACTTTTCCGCTTGCTACTTGTCGGATGTTATACCATACCGGTAGCAGCCTTTCAACGGCGGTTGACGCTACCTTCGCTGGCGACGACGACGACATCGACGAATCATTCATTCGTTTTTCGGTTTGAAGTCGTACGCGAAAAACTGAATCTCGTCAGAAGAACGTCAAACGACAGGCATCATCCCACCCATCGGGCTTCTCTGCTCGTCTCTCAGGACTCAGGACCCGACTAATACTCGACTGACTGAGACTTGAATGATCAGAGCTGTCAGTAATGCTATCGCTCGATCGATCAAACTACTCCCTCGGCGGAATGAATTAACGAAACCGAGCATCGATTGGGGGATTCCACTTTTCGGAGAGAAATTCCACTCGGGTGCCAGCTGTGGGATTCGGAGCAAAAATTTGCAAATGAGTCCGCCCGAGATGAAAATCCACGCGACGCTCCTAAAGGTGGGCGATAGCTCCGTGCCAAGCTCCCAGGCTTACCGCAAGAGAACGCGTGACGACAGCGACTTCAAGTTGTAGAGTCCGTGTACGAAACGTTCTCTCACGTCTCTCCCAAGCAGGAAGTATGACCTACTCTCCGGGAAAAAATATTTGGGCTCTCTCGGAGAAATTAGAACATTTTTCTAGGTGCCCTCTTCCCGCTTGCAGTTCTCGAGTCATCAATGGAGTGATTCACGAGCTCGTGTTGGGTCGCAATTGCTGTAAAATCCGGCAGTTGCCGATCTCGCCGCTACTGCTGCCGCCGGAGCCGATATAGGCGACCACATCTGAAGTGGTGGCGAGAATGTCGGATGGAAAAATAAATTTCTCCCCTGAATACAATCGCCGTACTTTGGAATATGCGACAGCGCAACGTGAGCAGCGGCTCAGGTGGCCTTTGGCAAGAATTGTGGCCTATAAAGCCGAGCCTACACTGTGAACACGGACCCCCCAGGCAAGATCCACTGCGGAGCGGGATCCACGTGAAATGTCGGTGGTGTAAAGCGAATCACAATTTTGGGCCGTTTTTCTCCCGCCGTAATTTTACGCATCGAACTGTTTTCTGGTTTGTCGATAGAGCCTCCGTCCCTCGCGTTTTCGTCGCCCGGGATCGAAGTGCTCGACAGGAAATGGAACTCTCTGAGGGATTGCAGTGAAGGGGATCGTAATAATTGTGTTTTGATTCGTCCCCACTGATACGGATCAGCCGTAAGCTCTGGAGCGGCTCTCCCGGATTACCGTTACATAGCTCATTGAGATGTCGACAATCGACAAATGCTCTGATTCTGATCGGAGCGCTCCGTCCGAAAACGGAGAGCCGAAGCGCATCCAAATCCCTTCTCATTAAGACAGAAATCAAAACGACTTCGGCTCGACGAGAGTACCGAAGCGGTCGTTGGAAAAATCCTCTGCTGCGACGGTCGATGCTGATATCGGGATGTGTAGTGCGAGGCTATGTCCTAGAAAGACTGAGGATAGAGAAGAAGCCTGGAAGGGACGAGAGAAGGAGGAGAAGGGAGTTCGGCACTCCTGTGAATCATTCCCAATCGAGCCGGTCTTTCTCGGATTGCTTGGTATCCGTTGACGCAAAGTGCCTGTTATCTCAGTAAACATTGAATGCGTTCGTATTGTGGGACATAAAAAATAGAAGAAAGCATCCAGAGTTCCGCGCCGATGATGTCGACCAAGCCACGAGAAAGAGAGAGAGAGCATGCCGAGATGAATAACCCATTCGATTGGGCTTCCAGACTCGAATTCCTCGGCGGACGTGAGCGCTTCTCGTGTTTTGCCCGACGGTTGTCTTTACGACTGGTCGTGATTGCTGGGCTTGATAGATCTGATTTGGAATGGATTCGAACGGGCGCTCCAACTCCATGGGGGCGATATCAGCTGGCAGCCTGACCGAAA